AACTTGTCTGGATAATTGTTATCAACACCAGCGTTTGTGTCAACTTTCTTTCTTCCTCATCACATAATATTTTTGATATTGTTTAAGTTGCATGCAGTTGACAAGAATCCTCGAAATAGAACACATAAATTCGTATTATCTCGAAAAATATTTGTTCTTTCTTTATTTGTTCAAAGTGAATTGAACATATTTTTTTGAGTGGCCTAACATATGTAGTGCAAAATTCCAATGTTTATTTAAAGACTTCATTTTATTTTGTACTTATACGAACTGACTCCAAGGATATTTCGCGCCTCTCCATTTTGCCGTCAATACGCACATTCCTTCAGTCTGTAATAAAGCCATTACACCTGTTAGATAAGTTCTAAACCTTCTCTCCGGGGTAATTGTTACCTTTTATTTTGATTTGACACTAGTAACTAGTGTGACGTGTCTAGTCTTCTCATTGGTGCAGACTGAATTCTATTAGTCAGGTTGTAATGTGGCCAACATTTTGGGTAGCTCGCTATCACTTTGCACGTTGATTTGATGATATTAGATGGTTGGAGGTGCGTCGGTGGCATAGCGGTTAAGACGCTCGCCGATCATGCACATGGTCCGGGGTTCGATCGCCGGCCGACGCACTCCTTTACCTCGCTAAGCCGAAACATTGCTGGTGAAGAGGAAACGTTGGGCATGAGGCTAGCAACCCCATCCTGTAAAATAAACACGGCTACAGAAACTTCAAGCCACTAGCTTGAGGCCCTATGTTCCACTGGGGAACGTGAAGTAATAAAAAAAGATGGTTGGAGGCAGTCGGCAGGAAGCCTTTATTTATTTATTTATATTTAACCTTTTATTTTACTTAAATATACGGCTCACCTCAGCACTTTTTGCCTTAATAACCAAGTCCTCTTTCATACATTTATTCCCCTTGATGAATATGAATGAAGGAAGAATAACAGTGGTTTATGTAGAATACAATGGTAACATCATTCTTTATTTCGTTGGCTTCTCATCAGCTGCCCAAAGTCATTATTAAGTATATATATATATATGTCACACATTAAACACTTAATCCTAAACAATAATGATCATGCACAATGAAGACTTTCGGCATCAATTAATCATATGAAAGAGAGGGTGAAAATATCCAGTTATCAGGCAGGGCGAGGAAAGATTGATAACCGCTTCTGTCTGGACGCATAAATTAGGTTTCAGGCGCTTGATGGTGATCTCTTCGGCAAACTTGAGGAGAATTGAACTCTTTTGCCTATTGATAATTTTGAACGATCTTGCGACGTCCACCTCATGGCCGGTGTCAAGGAGATGCCTTGCGATGGCACTGTTTAAAGCATTTAATCCCTTCAGACGTAGGCTTTTGTTCAGAAAATCGTAGATATGCCATTCTTTCTGTTCTTCTAATGCAGCTGCTCCGCAGATACACGTAAATTTGTATATACATTTGGAGTTAACATGAAAAGGGTGGGTATCTGTCGATTTTCAACTGCACTAAAGAGCAAGTTGTTCGATAGACGGGAACGACCTTAGCTGCAGGATAGGCTCTGCCTAGTGACATATTAAATCTTCTGTTGATAATGAATAAATAAATAAATGATCATACGTAAGTCTCTTCAAGGTTGCAGATACGCCTTGCTGATGAGTGCCAACTAGCACGAAACCTAGGTCAGGTCCAAGACTTCCTGTGGCAGATTGCCTCCAACTATCAAAATGATGATACCATTTTATTCTGCAAAAACTATTGTTCTTGCTTCATTGAACTGCTTTTTAATTTGCGTTTTGTCGTCAAGACATTTAGCGGTTAGGTAGAGTACTAAATTATTGGGTGCATAGGTAAATTGCGTTAAGCAAGGACTGGCAAGTTAAACTTTAAGCACCACTAACTACCAATCAGAGAATGACCTCGAATGTTCCAGCGAGGTTCATGCACGCGAGTTCAAGGTTGAATAGCGTTTGATTCATATCAAGCGAAGTTAGGCTTGCAGTTAGATGAGGATAAGGTTTTGCAGTATTGCCTGGAGTTGGGGTTGCTTAGGAAGGAAAGATATCGCCTCATGGCAAATGGAGAGAATTACTTCGTTGTTAGGCGGTAAAAGGTATTGTCTTACACGTGGATGCAGCTGCGTTACTGAAGAAAAAATACAACCAACAGTGTTATCCTACGGAAAGGATTCATGGAGAGAATACCAGATAGAAAGTCTACTACCTTAGTACCTATTGTCACTCGAATTGTGAAACAGGGATTCATTGTACATACTGATGAATGGAAAGGTTATAACTCGCTGTCATCTCTTGGATATGTTCATCACAGAGTAAACCATTCTAGGGATTTTGTGAATCCAATTACAGAGACACACACGAATTTTATAGAGGGATTTCGCGTAAGATTACAAAATAGGATTAGGGCTATAAATAGATCTCATTTATAGTCATTTGGATGAATATATGTAAAAAATGTTGTGTAACTTTTCTGTTGACTCTCCTATGCTAAACTGGGAGATGTTTCTTTCACATTTTAGAGAAAGATACCCTACGTAACAGTTTTATGCAGTTTTTATGCCTTTTTCCATAAATATACGTTTTCACTAATCAAAAGTACCTCTTTTTTGTGATTGGTCCGTTGAAAATCGTTCGCTGATTGGTAGTTACTGGTGCTTAAAGTTTAACTTTGCCCAAAGGCCCAAAGGGTTGGTGAAGAATAGCTTATCGGCAGTACAACCAGTACTTAACAAACAGCCGCTTTTTGGATTTCATGAAATAGTGTTGTTGTTGTTATTGCTGAATTATTTGATTATTTCTCCAAAATTTAGTCTACATTTACGCGTAAAAAGTAATCTCATTCGATTCGTATAAAATTAATGATCAAATTCGCATTGATTTGTATATTTTTCTCTTAACTGTGTCACGTATAGCATTGTTCGAAGAAAACTTATGAATCATCGACCAGTTCTATGCTTTCATTATAAATTATGGTGTGCGTGTGTGTGTGCCCCACGAACGTGTGGGTTTTTGTTTTCTTTTAATCTGTCCTGATGATTTGTTATTAGGTCGTTTGAAGACACTAGATGACGATCAGGGGAATCGATATTTTGTTCGTCTTTACTACTAAATTGCAGAAAAAGGATGGTAGTAGTATGTTAGTGTGTTTAAGCGTGTATTGAATGCATGAAGTGGTCTAGTCCTGTAGTGAACACAATTTATGCCCCAGTACTATAGAGTACGCCAAACATTTATCAGCCTCATTCAACAGCTAAATGAGGATACCATACACCGCGTGATTGACAACAGGTAGCTCAGTGAGGAGTTTGAAAAGAAGACAGGGTTCTGTAACTGATTGATACCAATCCGTGATCAACTCATAAAAGCAAAATTAATCCCTACAAACCAACTATAGAAAATTGGTGGTCGTGCTAAAATCACAAATTCGTACAAGTTAGAATTCATAGTCTTATTATTGAATTGGGTCCCAGTGGCTTAATAACATACAAGCTTGCCTTTTAACCAGAAGGTCGTGGGTTGAACCCTGGCAGTGTGGGTGTCTACTGCCAATGATTTCCAAACTAGGATGAAACAGTTTTCCAGTACTCTCTGTTGGTTTTCAATGGTTCTCCAACTGATAACATTCCGTGATTAACCCATAAAAACATATGATATTCTTGACTGTGCTGGAATGCAACATATGACAGACAGGAATACGTTAGATATGATGCGAAGATTCTGGAAAATTTCGATTTATGTTTAATGTCACACAGACTTAAAGATCTATAGGCAGAAACCAACATGTTGACACAACGGGCTGGCATTGAAAACAGGACTTCACGAAAACAAGGAGAAGACAGAGGCGATGACGAAGATATTCGGTCAACAACAAGAAGCACCAATCCCTTATCAAGGACAGAAATATGAAGAGAGCCGGCACTCTATTATATATCTAAGCAGTATCGTCAAGGGCTGCAAGATCCAAAAACCAAGACACACCTTCATTACTCTGGAATCAATGTGGAAATCTTCTCCAGCACTGAGCATATGGAATAAGATCTTGAGTTTTCAACACAAATATCAAGTCAATCAGTACTTCCTTCCATATGACTCAGAGACTTACTGCACACATTACAGGAAGTATTTCCAGAAGGCTATTGCATACTTTTATCCACAGCCGTTTCCTCTGCTTCTATAAATTATCACATAACAAAGAAGGATTAGCAACAAGCGAGTCTGTCTACGAACCAATCAAGAAGCTATTCTCCAACTAAAATGTGGAGGGAGTGGAAATGAGTTAGGTGCACACCCTGAGGAGACCATTGAGTGGCATTGTGCGCAAGCTTGAGCGTCAGGGAGAATCTGTATTGGAAAGGACGAACTAGGGTGACATAAAGGAGATTGTATGAAGATTACATGAACGCTTACAGGCAGTCATCTGGCCCTATGAAAATGATTCTGTAGAACAGGATGAAGTGGAGTTCTACTTTTGAAGTTCTATGATCCCCCTCGAAACTCAAAGGAATATAACTATAAATAGTTATAATAATAATAATAAACTTTCAAGTGATGGTTTTGTAAGGATTTTGTTTGATTGGATGGAGGATTTCATCATGAGGTGACATCAGTTAGAGAACCACTGGAAAACCTGCAGGAGTACTGGACAACCAGGTGTTTCGTCAGGCTAGTTTGGGGCTCTTCAGCAGTACGCATGGGTCATTGCATTGGGTCCTAGTGGCTCAATGGTCTACGAGCTAGCTCGCCTTGTAACCAGAAGGTCCTGGGTTCGAACCGCTTGGTGCGGGTACGTACATTGATGAATTCCAAACTAGGCCGAGGAAACAGCTGTCCAGCACTCCAGTGCTGGTTTTCCATTGGCGCTCATGATGAAACCCTCCATCCAATAATAATAATAATGTCACATCCATGAAGTTAAAAATCATTTTCTCCATTTATAGAAAAACACTGAAATCTTTTTTTCTTTTTCAGATTAGAAATAATAACTTTATTGTAAAAATATTTCAATACATATAACTATCACTCTTATGTGTAATTTTCTGTTGTGAAATAAATCCTGTAATACGTCTTGAAGTTCCTGGACCTCTGAGCACCTCTTCTGGTTCCTCAGCTGTCTCAGTGTCATCTGTGCTTTTTCCATCTTCAAAAAGACGTCCTTCATAGAATAGGGATTGATTTTCATTTTTACGTTCAGTTAAATTCATTTTGATAATATATAAAGTGATGGTGAGTATCTGTGGAAATAAATGTCAAAGGAAAAAAAGTTATCAGATCTCAGAATTACTGAATTGATGATATCTTGTTTTTCAAGAGGAAATTGTAAGTAGATGTTTCATTTGTGAATATATACGGATCACCATTGAACAAAGCTTGGAATGGCAGTCACCTCTCCACCTCACTCAACTTCATCGACCTTGAAAAGGCCTTCGACAGCGCAGCGTCGATTGAGAGGTGATTTGGAAACTACTTCGCTACTACCAAAGGGGTGCCATCGAGAATTATACATCTTATCCAACAGTTATACGACAATGCTGCATACCAAGTAGTCCACAACGAGAAATTTACGGAAGCCTTCGAAGTGAGGACGGGAGTGAGGCAAGGCTGTCTACTATCGCCAATTATTTTGCTGATTGCAGTATATTGAATAATGCGACAGACAACGGGCAATGAGGAAACAGGCAAAAAATGGACTCACACAAAAAACTTGGAGGATCTGGATTGGACTTCGCCGATGATATATGTCTGATTTCCCACAAACTGGAAGATATGCAAGTGAAAAGCGACAAGCTGGCAGAAGAAGCATCAAAGATAGGACTTCAAGTGAACATAGATGAAACAGAGGTGATGAAGATTCCTGGCCGACACCAACAGCAACAACAACAACAGACAACAATCAGCCAGCATAAATGGGAGGAACCTGAAAGAAACAGCCTCCTTCACCTACCTGGGAAGCATCGTTTCAACCACAGGCGAAACTGACGAGGATATCAAAGCAGCGAGGATCGGGAAAGCAAGACAAACTTCCATTACTCTCAAGTCTGTGTGGAGGTCAACAGCACTCAGCATCAAATACAATGTCCGGATTTTCAACTCCAATGTGAAGTCACTCAGTGCTACTATACGGATCAGAGACTTGGCCAGCGCGTCATAAAGAGCACCTCAAACAAACTACAGACCTTCATCAACAGCTGTCTTCGCTGAATACAACTCAAGATCAGATGGCCGACCAGAAAAGATCAGCAACAGGGATCTCTGGCAATCAGCGAACCAACCGGGAACCGATTGTGCAACAAATAAGCAAGAAGAAATGGAGATGGATTGACCATACGCTGAGGAAATCATCAGGTGACATCACTAGACAAGCCATCGCTCGAGTGGAACCTGAAAGAGAAGCGGCGAGTTGGTCGTCAGTGTAAGGGTGACTTGGAGGAGGTGATGTGAAGAGGAGATGAAAGCGAGTGGGCACACTTGGAGCGGGTTGAAAAAGTTGGCAGAAAACCGAACGCAATGGAGACTCGGGCGGCTTGAACCCTATGTTCCTCTAGGAATTAAAGGATATAATAATATAATAATAGTAAAAGCATTTTATTAGCAGAATGAGCATCACACAACTATTTTCTCATTTTGCTGTTCTCGGCATTTTGAGGAGTACTTGAGTTCTATTTCGTCAGGAATAGACATGTCATTTGAAGGTCAACTGAAATCCAGACAGTACTTGTCTCACCGATGACCGTATTCTGAGCCTTTGATTGAGGTGAATAGTTGCGCACCACTCACATCAGGTTGGAATGATGGAGAAATTGGTCGACTTTTCAGCCTGTTTTGGGTTGACCTCATCAGCTGCATATACTGGGTTTGACTGGACTGGTAATACCTTGAATCAGATTCACTATTTGCACAACTTGAGAAGGTGAAATGTCACCATCGTTTCCTCTGGTTGATGTGAGTGACGAGCAACTACTCTTCTCACTTAGTCAGTAGTATGTAGCGCCATGTACCACATGCATTGTGATCTGAATAACTTTTGTTTCCAAAGGAAACTATATGATGGAACTGTGAATTCGACTTCATCCTGGACCACTGAGTTTTACAACTACTCATTATAAAGGTTTTTTTTGGATTTCTCAATGAATGAAAAAACAGAACTATATCGTTTTTATAGACTATTCGCTATGTAGTACTGATAACTTTATCAAAGTAGTATTACTAAACCAGAATTTACAAAATCCCTAAAGATTCTCTATAGAATTGTGTCTATAAAATAAAATGCTTGGAATGTGATGCAATATACATAGGAGAAAACATTGCCTGAAGGAAATGAAAATCAGAAGAAACGAATACTGTAGAGCCGCCTCTGTTCGACCAACCACCGAGAAATCCGGTTAGTGAACTAGAAAAGCTTGAAAAATTATCACCCAGTCATAGGTCTACACGCTATAGAATCAGGCCACAGAAATTGATTTTGACAATATTGAAATCATCATCCAGATAAAGCATTTCAGAAATCAAAAAGAACGTCTAAAATCATCAGAAGCACTTCATATCATCAAATGGAATCCAAATTGTCTGAATAGGAATGATGGGCTAAAACAGAATTTGATCTGGTTACAACACCCCACTCCCTTGTGAAATGGTGAAGTCAACATGAATGTGATAAGCAATTTCATTAGGTAAACACGCACGCTGCTTTTATAATTTTATACACTTATCAAATCCAACAATCTAAACCTGGTTTTGTTAGCTTTACCAGTTGGTCAATTCGACAATGAAAAATGATGTCATGCTGAGGAAAGATGATTCAGTTGTTATACGTAAATTTGTAAATTCTGGTTTGGTAATACTACTTTGATAAAGCTATTAGCAGCATTAAATAGCGGAACGTCAGTAATAACAATATCGTTTTGTTTTTCATTCATTGGGAAATACAAAAAACCTTTATTATAATATCATAAACCCAACGCCCAAAGTTTTCTAAACTGTTAATATTGAACTTGGTTTGGACATATATACTTACTACTACTCAGAAACTTGAGAGAAATCCAGCGACTTGTGTATTTTAACGTCTGTCAATTCACTGTTGTACAATGCTACCACCAACAATATCACTGGCAGGAATCTGTTTTCATACCCTACTCAGTTGACTTCCTCAAAGCAACCGTCGAGTGCTCCCCAGTATATAGTGGTTATCTTAATAATAATAGTATCATTTGATAATGGAATCTAACATGGAGTCAATCACATTGCTGCAGGTTAACACTCGAGAATCTTTCATGACGACTGAATTTATCAAGTTTTTCAAAGTCGTTTGTTGGCCTAGAAGCTGATAAGAATACTGTTTTAACTCGTCTTAAAGGCTTCACACAATTTTTCTTATTGATACACTTGGTCAAGGTTACAGATATACGTAACAGAATGAAATGAAGGTGGGTTGAAATGAAGATAAGAGATATCACGAGGTGTTTTCGCGCATGGTGTTTACCAAACGCCACATCAGATATTCCAGCTGTGTAGAAGTGCCGTTTTAAAATTTCTAAAACAGACAGACATAACACCTCGTACGATTACAACATTCGTCTAAATAGGCAATACATAGTCACATAAAAGCAATTACCTCAGGAAACTGAAGTAGTAACTAACTACCTCCGTTCTTCCTATTCGAGTATTCTGAGACGAAAGCGCGACAACTTTGTTTTTGAAATAAGTTATGTTCTAACTCGATAATGAGGTCATATTTTGTAATTTTCTTAATTCTGTTGTGTACAACTGAAACAGAATTGTGGATTTCATTTAAAGTGTTCATATTTCCTAAGAATCTAACTGGGAATATGAGGGGGTGTTAATTTTCATATGTGTGAGGATAATATCGCTAAGAATCAACGAGCAAAGTATCCACACGCAATAATCAGTGTTAACACACGCCGCCTGATAAATACTAGACTTCAAGATAGATGACATGAAATCATTCAAAGTAACTAAAAGAGCGTAGAATCCTGTGATAGTTGATTTTGCCTAAGTAAATGCAGATAAGAGACTTCAGTTGTGAGATACTACATTTCCTCAATCTTCAGTATTACAGCTATGTACCAACTAATTACACTCCATATAAACAAATTGCACCAAAATCTGTGTTCTCCATTTTGATCATGTATTGGAAACTACTTCAGCACTACAGCGTGAAGTGCTCAAGTCTTTATCAACCTCATTCAACAGCCACATGTCAGGTAATCCAAAGTGGAAAACTCAGTGAGGCTTTCGAAGTGCATGCAGGAGTAAGACAAGGCTGGCTGGTTGTCTATCATCACCGATGATATTCTAAATTGTGGTGGACTAGATTATGCGTCTGACTGTGAGTCAGGAGTTTTGAGGAGTCAGGAACACGCTGGACGACCGATGAGAAGACTATAGAAGATCTGGATTTCACAGATGATTCATGTTTAATGTCACACAAACTTGAAAACTTAGAGACGGGAAATAACCAACAGAATTGCTGAAGAGGGTAGCAGTGATGACAAGACTGCAGAAGAAAACAGAGAAGACGGAGGTGATGAAGATAACTAGCTAATACCAGCTGCAGAAACAGCAACAACAACCAGCACCAGCACCAATCATCATCAACGGAAGAGATTTAACAGAGGTTACTTCCTAACTTCACTTATCTGGACAGGAAGCACGGTTTCAACCATAGGCTGTCGGAACGGATGAATATATCAATACCAGCCAGCCAGCCAGCCAGCCAGCCAGCCAGCCAGCCAGCCAGCCAGCCAGCCAGCCAGCCAGCCAGCCAGCCAGCCAGCCAGCCAGCCAGCCAGCCAGCCAGCCAGCCAGCCAGAATCAGGAAGGTAAGGCAGCACGCCTTCATCTACCTGAAACTAGTTTGGAAATCTTCTGTGCTGACTCAACCGGCATAAACAACAAGATTTGGATTTTCAACACAAATGTGAAGTCAGTCACTCAGATCTGCTATATGGGTCAGAAAACTGGCAGATGGCGTCACGAAAAGCATTTCCAGCTGACTACTGCGGATTTTTACCAACAGCTATCTCCTTGTCTGGGTGCACAGTGAAGATCAAATGGATGGCTGGAGCAAACCAACCAACGGCCGGTTGCTCAACAAATATGTAAGAGAAGATGGAGATATATGGGGCGAGGACATCGAGTGACATCACGGGCAATGCAGACTATCGTTCGGGTGGAATCTGGATGTGGAGCGATGAGTAAGTCGTCGGTGAGAGAATGACATGGAAAAGGTCTTTAGTGAGGAGCAGGAGGAGATGAGAGACTATAGCAAATCGTGGACCCGGCTGAAGAGGATGGCAAAATATAGAACAAAGTGGCGATATGTTGTTGGAACCGTATGTTCCATTCTGAACCTAAGGGAACAATAATAACAATGATCTCAGTTAGAGAATCATTCAACACCAAAAAGATCTCTCTCTTCAGCAGTATGCATCCACCACCCTGTTACAGATCAGATTTAGGACTTTTAGGTCACAAGGTGAACTCGTATACCATTCAATAGCCAAACAGTTCTTATTTCTGCCATTACTCGATATACTATCGCCGTCAGCCAACTAATGGTCCATTGTAACTTAAAGGTCTCGGGTCCAAACCCTGATGGGATAATGAGTGAGTACTGATGAAGAGTTCTGCATAAGAACGAGGCAGCCATTCAGTGCTTCCTGATGTTTAGTGGTTTTCTAAATGAAGTCAGTCCGTCATCAAAACTGAAATCAATAAAATCCTTGCAAAACTAGAACTTGACGTTTCCGCTTTGTGATACTTCAATGTATAGTCTTACTTTAAGATAGTGTATGCTTGATATGTCTAAAATAAGCTACACCTTATGGCCTCAAAGACGTATAGTTAGTAGCATAATTATTCAGCAGATTCCAGCGTGTGAGTTTATCAATTATAGCCAAACAAACTTGCTGCACTTTCGTTTCAATATATACTTGTGTAGAGAGGAAGGAAGAGACTAATTACAGTTTGAAATTCCTTTGATGGCTTCGTGTGACCTGCTTAGAGGAATATGCGGTAATCTTCATATAAGAAGTGCTAAGTTTGGCTGTTTTTTTATCAACTTTTGTTTTACACAACTGGAATATCTGTTGTGCTGTGTCGTTCGCTCTACACACTATGCATGAAAGCACCTTGCTATAAACGAAAAATGGATGTTCTGTTGAAAATGGAGACCTTTAGGTTCTCTTCAGAGATCAGTCCACAGGAAACACACAATGGTGGAATAATCAGTGTACGCTAATTTTTAACAGTCGGGTCCTTTAGAATAGAAAGAGAAAACTTATCTACTCTTTATCTTCAAGAATAAGAAGGACATGCATCAGTGATACAGTCATCCTTGGACTGAAGCTACTCAGACAATTTCTCATTGGAAATGAAAATCATAAAAGATTTATCGAGAAAAATATGCAAACAAAGTAGAAACCTGAAAGAATCAGAATGTTGTCAAGGAAATTTTTGGTCTATAAATGTTGATACCGTAGCTGAGATTCTGATGAGCTGCTTGTGCAGATTGTTGAGCAAAGCTTTATTTTCAGCTGATCTACGGACCAGTTTCCATCATCAACATACGATCAATGGATTTTTGAAGGACAAATTGCCGCTTTGGACAACTTCGTCGTGTGCTTACGAATTCACTTACTGCTATGGATCTAATTATATTAGTTACATAAAGCGCACAGTTTTTAAACATATTTTTGAACAATATCCGGCATGGTTAGCACTAGGACAATCCAAGACAATTACTAACTTTATTCGCGAGCAATACCTGGTGAACTCAGGCCAAGCATATCTACCAGAAATCTCCTTTAACTTCATCTACAAGGTGAGACGGAATGACATAAAGGGTTTAACGTTTCGGCATTTTTGTGTGGCGGAAGTGCTGACTATATGCATAGAAAAAACTGTTTTCGGTCTTTTACTTTACATTCTCACAGCTTTCATCCTTTTCTAAGATTCTAACAGTGTATTATTATTCCCTTAGCTTCCGAGTGGAACATAGTGCTTCAAAAATACATTTCCACTTTGATATAAGGATAAAACTTGGGCACTATTCTACAGCATTAGATCATCAGTTATTATTACTGTATGATTTATCAAAATAAATTCTTATCCATAATGGAGTTACATATCCACTTTGTTGTATGTTTTCCCATCATCTTCAGCTGGGTCCATGACTGAATATAAACTCTCATCTCCTCTAACTCGCAGCACGATCTCCTTCATGTCATCCTTACACGGACGACCCACTTGTCACTTGCCATTGGGATTTCATTCGAGTGGTGGCCTGCACTCTGTGTTATTTCATTCGATGGGTCTCCTTTTAACGTATGTCCGATTAATCCATTACCATTTTCTCCTACATTTCTGTTGAGCAATTGACTCTTGGTTGGTTTGTTCCACTGCAGAGTCTCTTGTTGCTAATTCTTTCTGGTTGGCCGCCTATTCGATCTTACCTATGCAGCCAGCGAAGGAGGCAGTTGTACATAAAAGTCTATGGTAACCTGTTAGAAATTCTTTGCATGACACGCTGGCCAAGTTTCTGATCCGTATAGCAAAAAAGACTGACTGACTGACTGACTTTATATTTGTTTTAAAACTTCTGAATCTTGTTCCTTATGCTTTTGAATGTGGCAGATTTCCAAACTGGTTTCAGGTTGATGAAGGTGGGCTGCCTTGCCTTTCCGATTCTGGCTGGCTGGCTGGCTGGTATTGATATCCTCATCCGTTCCGACAGCCTATGGTTGAAACCGTGCTTCCTAGCCAGATAAGTGAAGTTAGGAAGTAACCTCTGTTAAATCTCTTCCGCTGATGTTAACTGGTGCTGATTGTTGTTGTGGTTGAGGTTCTTTTATTATCTTCATCACCTCTATCTTCTCTGTGTTCATCTGCAGTCTTGTCATCACTGCTACCCTCTTCAGCCATTTTGGTTGGTTTTCGTCAACGTTGTACGATGTGCATTAATTTAATTACGGATGGATATTAAAATTCTTCTTCAATCAAAAGATAAGTAAAACTATAATATTATGAGGAGAGATGCCATGTCTTTAAGACCTGAAATCTCCAACACCTCAATAACACACAATACCAAGAGTCTAAGTCATAGCTAACGAATTGCTAACTTCATCATAAAATTTGATTACACAACTGACTCAGGAAACCGCAATTATTCAAATCAAAATTCATCTGTTCTGCTTGATATCATAAATGGTGATCAGGAAACCAAGCATAAATGCATGATATCATATACTATTGGTTGATTTGCATGCCTAGTTGAATACCAATCATATCAATGATTGATAGTAATGCCGAATTCAGGTGATTTGAACTGTTTTTAGGCTGTCCGAGATGAGTTGAACTAGGTAAATCACTGATGAGTGAAGCGGTTGCCCGGGTTTGGATTTGGTTAGCAGGCACTACTAACTAATGCTGGCCTTGTGCGACTACTTATGTCAAATAATCATTAGTTTGTATCACCATTCATTTAAACCCTGAGTTCTAGATCCCACCAATGGTTGTTGTAGTACATAATCAAACAGTAATACATTAAGTTAATTCAAATTATGGGTTTTCAAGGGGATTTGATTAAATCAATTTCAATGTAGATTTCCTTTGGGAACCAGGACCACTTAGGTAGATCAATGAAAATCAAGGAGGGCTATACACCTGTTTCGTCCTACTTTGGGACCTTTCAATGGTGTGAACCTACTACTACCCTGAGGATCGAATGCGGAACCTTCAGTTTCTTTGACCACTTAACCAGTCGGACCGGAATCCAGTGATCTGTGAATTCTAATTTTGGCTGTTCATGATATATCGCACTGTCCTTCAAGATTATCTACTTCACCATGACATAGTGGACTCCATATGCCACAGATCCTCAACCAGCCTTACCTGGTAGTCTAGTTCGTGGGTCAGTGAGTGCCGATAAATATTTCGAAACTAGGTCGAAAGATTAATGCACTGATCTCTAACGAAATCTTGATTTATATTCCCCGCATAGGTCATAATGATTAATCAGTCAGTTGGAAGAACAAACACAATTTCTCTTCTCATGTATTATCCTCCATTCAAGCTTCATATGCATGAAAGATAAGACAGATAGATTGGTTGATCAATTATGCTATTGTCTTTCAAAATGACGTCACATACGCCAGAGTCAACATATCAATACACTTTCTGAAAAAAATATGATAACTCACGTGTGAAACAAAATACAACAAGGTATACAGTCTCTCGGGAATACTTGTAGTGTGAAAAAAAGTATGCTGTAATAGCATTTCTCCGCAACCCTGGAAACAAGAAAATAGTAAATAAATAAGCCGTGAAAGTCAGTAAGCTCTCGTTCACTACTGATAAAGACAAATAAGTAGATAGTTCATTTTACGAAAACATTTCTATTAACTGAACGTCTTTTCAGTTACATGACATGGTAAACGGTACAGTACAATGAACAGTGATCAAATGAGGAAATCCCTGTCAAATTCTTTAAGCAAAGCTATGAGAAACTGGAATCTTTTTCTAGGAACATATATAAGAAAGTTATTCTATGTAACTGGATACTTCATTTTTCAGAAGCCAATGCTATCGAATAATTTCAAGCTATATACCTACTGTATACAGAGAGGTAGGGCGATTAATCTTGTACCACTCTGGATCGTCGAATGCCCGCCAGCCACGCCTCATATGGTCCGGAATTAGATCCTCGACCGACAAACTCCTGAACCTTGCTAAGCTGGCTGTAAGTCCGGTAAAGAGGGAAGGATGAGCGTGAGCTTAGCAACCCCACTCAATACAAGTAAAATCACTGCTACTGAAACTTCATACCTCTAGATAGAAGCCCTCCACTCAGGACATAAAGGAGTAAAACAGAAAACACCCTAGATGATAACTAGACATCTCTGCTCTGTTTACGTGTTTCCTTGCTCAATAATTTCTTTTTTTTGGTTACAACTCGATGTGCTGAACTCATTATTAGTCCTCTGATTTTAGCTAAGTTGCTTGCTTTGGTGATAATTTTTTTTAAATACCATTTCTTTCCACCATACTCTTAACATCTTCTCTTGGATGTTCCATCTTGTTACGTATAAATATAAACTTTAGCTGTTAGGTGAAAAAGCTATCTTATATTGATTTTTCTTGTTCCGCAAGTATGCCCTTTGAAATGAAATACTTTTTCAAGTTTTTCATATGTACCTTACATTTATAATAACTTGTCATTTTGGCAGGTGTTAGCTGTTGATGAAAAGCTGTAACGTCTTTTTAATCCTGAAAATATGTTCCTCTGCTCCAGTTGCATTAAAACATCTCTTTAATATTGACTATCGGTTGCGCTATACATTGTGAATTATTAGAAATTATCAACGGTTGCTTTGCAACGACTGTTCAGTCCGATCCCGGGATCCATCATCAGCACGCGCCTACAAGGGCTCGAGCCTACGACCTTCTGCTTACGAGTAGATCTGGTAGGCCATCCAACCACTGGGATCTTATTCAATCGTCCACAAATTCCACCTTCTACTAAGTGCTGATATACATATAGAATCACCACCAACAAGAAATTGTAATTTATAGGCGAGTGGATTCTGTCCCAATAGCTGTATCGTCAATAGGTTGGTCTCATAACCTGAAGGTCCTGGATTCATTTTCTGACGAGGTTATAGGTGCGCACACCTGAAGCCTGACAAACACAATAGCGGCTGAGTATATGATCTTGATCTTTTTATCTTGTGCGTTTACTACGAAAATAGGTCATTGACGTCGTCGGACTGATTTCAATTTAGAACACATGAGTTAACAAAGAGATCCCTTGTGTTCATAACTTCACTTTAAAACTGTACAGTTAATAAAGGTGTCTATAATCCCAATATAGATTGACAGGTGAGGTCAAAGGTTATTGCCAGTTCGTAATAAAGCAACTCAGAATGCATGAATTGTAAGTAGGTTCAGAATATTAGGAATAGTTTTACGTAACCATTGAGGTTGAGAACTAAATGGTTGAGTAACTCTTGGCAACTTCAATGTGTATTTACCAAGTAACCTGCTTCTGTGGAGCTAAGTACATATGCTGTACCCGTAAGACATTGTCGACACGTCCCCATGAACACTTACCGACATGGTTGTCGAAAAGAGAACGTAGAGCTGACAACAGCTCAATTCTTCTGATCATGCAGTATCAATAGATGACTGTTTATGAATTGCGACCAAGTTGTTCAAAATGATTTCGCTTACATCTTCTTCATACACATGAGGTTGTAGCAATCCTTAAGGAGAAACCTGAACTATGTGTTCAAAAATGTGTCAAACAACCTCTTTTACTATCATGGCCTTAGTACTACTTATTCTTCCTTCTTTGTCTTCCTGAGTAACAGTATAATGAACTCTATGTAGTCCGTTTTGTGCTTTTGCGAGTCATTATCAGTCTTTCTTTCTCTTGTCTCTTATCCCCTATTTCCAAATGATTATTCACCAGAAGGGTTATTGAGCAAAGAATATTCTTCTCGATAACGTGCTCTTCATCTGATTCTACAGTTATATATAACCCTAATAGTCAATGAATCAGTGTTATTAAGAACACTGATGTTGTGTCAAGAATAATAACAAAAATATCAATGGAGTGCAGATTGATACAGCCAACATTACAATACACTACAATGAATATTAGATGGTTGGAGGTAATCAGCAGGAAGCCTTGGATCTACGTTTCGTGCTAGTTGGCACTCGTCAGAAAGGCGTATCTGCAAGCAGCTTGAAGGAACTCATGTCCCTTCTGAGATTCAAACCCGCGTCACCCAGTGAGTACTACATTCAGAGACGTTACCACTGAGCTATTCGGGCTAGTGACTGATCTCCTGTAGGACTACTGTAGTGGATATTTTGATTTGACACTAGTAACTAGTGTGAGCTGTCTAGTCATTTGTTTGGTGTAGATTGAATTCTATCAGTCAGTCAGGTTGTAATGTGGTCTTCAACTATCTAATATCATCAAACCAATGGTGAGCTACCTAGAATGGTGGCCATATTACAGCCTGACTGATAGAATTCAGTCTGCACCAAGGAGAGGACTAGACACATCACACTAGTTACTGGTGTCAAATCAAAACACTACATTGAATATCAGATAAATTAGGAGATATACTAATACAAATTCATGGATTTATAGTATCCAATGAAGGCCAAGACAGTAGAAGTGGCTGGTTGGTCTTACTTCATCTGCACACGAAGCACTAGTTGTTTAAGGCGGATAGCCATAGCCTGTGCTGTTTGGAGTATACGGTACCTGGCTGTTTTTAGGAATTTATTTGGTACTCGGTAGATGATAGAGAAAGATTTTTCAATACTGGCTTCGTGGCCTGGTCGGACTAGGCCTATTATTGAACCGTTGATGGTTTTGACTCCACCTTTTTATGGCCACACTGGTAGATGTTCCCGAGAGAGCAGGAAAAACCAAGTTCCTAGATCAACGGGCATTATAACTTGCTCCACAGCAAGCGCAGTTCAATTGGTTGATACAACTAAATATTTGTCTACCCTTTTGATTACGCATGACTATTCCTAATTTTTTTCATGCACTTCGACTCACTTTGTTACGAACTGAAAATAACTTTCGACTTCTGTTTTCAACCTACAGTGCATATATAGACACCTTAAATAACTGTGCAGTTGTGAAGTGAAGTTGCGAACAGAAGAGATCTCTTCGTTGATTGATTTGTTCTTAATTACATGAAATGGAAATTTTTCACACTTTGATTTCAATTTACTTGAAGTTTAGGTGAAATGGGATTAGGATTCAAAAGCTGCATTTCGGATCGATGTGGACATCGAGCAACCTCGCTTGCATGAATGCTTCACAGTGTTACACAGAGTCCCTCAATATCGTACAAAGGGACTTCGGATACGCCATCTGTACATAGGCGCAGCTGAAGCCCTATGTTCCTCTAGGAACTAAAGGATACAATAATAATAATAATAATAATAATAATCTGTACATAGATGAAACATTAGCTATCCAAAACCTCAAACCGGACCTCTGCATTCAAAAGCGATACGTACATTCTCTTACCCTACCATGGCCAGAGTAAAGTTCTTACTACAATTTTACTTCTTTCCTTTATTATGTAAGTTCACTATTATTATTATCAATACTTTTAGTAGCATTATTATTCCCATCATCCCCATTTTATTACCACTCTATTACTGTTTATTAATAACATTGCTTTTTCATACAGATTTTATACAAAAACACTTTATAGTTTTTCCACTAGTTCCTGTCCATTCCACACGAGATTGTTGATTAGTGATTACCTCACACTTATTACGCCATGCCAACTTCTGTCTCCTTTCTAACTTACAATTAGTCATCCCTTCTTACACCTTACACTGTGTAATACAATTTTCCAAGGACAAAGTTTACCAGTATCTGATTGGTATAATGGTTTCTTTGTTAATTAAAAATACGATTGTACAGCTCATGAAAATGAATGGTCGAAAAGAAAATATTTTCGTCGTTTTTGCCTTTTTCTTATGACTCAGTATGGGAATATTTCCTTCATAGTTTGAGAAAGACAATAAATGAAATTGTTTGATCACAGATTGATATCAGTTAGAGAACCATTGAAAACCAACAAGGAGTATTGGACACCAATTTCATCCTAATCTGGGAATCATCGGAACTACGCACCCACTGGGATTCGAACCCAGGACTTTCCGGTTTCAAAACAAGTTCGCATACCATTCAGCCACTGCTGGAACCCGACTCAATGGCCAGACCGTGAATTCTAACTTCTACCAATTCGTGATTTAGCGCGATTGGCACTAACCAATGTCATCGGTGGGAAATCCATCCTCACAATTGACTGGATGGACGTCACTGGTCACGACGTTTCACTATAACTCCAGGAAATTTCGTTCCGTAGCAAGTCACTAGCGAGCACCAGATTAATTTTCAAGAGTTGGTTCGTAAGGATTAGATTTGTTTTTACGTAAATTCAAGGTTTGCGTTTCTCTTCTGGTTACTGTAATTGTAAAAGGAGATTAGTGTGCTGAATAGAGGCTACTTCAATGAAGTAGTTAGAACACCAAGATCGACTCTCCAACTCACCATCAAAAACGGCGTATATGTTAGATGGTTGGAGACAATCGCCTCACCCGACCAAGGTTTTGTGCTAGTTGGCACTCACCAGTCATCAAGGAGTATCTGCAACCACGTTGAAGGAAATCATGTCCCACGCTCCAGAGACGCTACCACTGAGCTATTCGAATTCGCGATTGACCTCCTGTAGGACTGTATTGCATACTTTTGTTGGACACTAGCAACCAGTATAATGTGTATAGTCCTTCGTTTAGTGCAAACTGAATTCTGTCGGTCAGGTTTGTAATATGGCCACCATCCTAGGTAGATCGCCAATGAAAGTATACAGTAAAGTCCCACAGGAGGTTGATCGTGAGCTCGAATAGCTCAGTGGTAACATCTCTAATTGTACTACTCACTGGATGACGTGGGTTCACATCTCAAAAGTGGTGGATATGGGTTCCTTTGAGGTTGCAGATACGCTTTGCTGACTGGTGAGTGCCAACTAGCAAGAAACCTAGGTTAGGCGAAGTTTCTTGCCGATTGCCTCCGACCATCTAATGCCATCAAACTAATGTACACCGTGATGGTGAGCTACCTAGAATGGGGCCACATTGTAGACCTGAATGGTAGAATTCAGTCTGCACCAAAGAGAGGACTAGACACGTCACACTGTTTACTAGTGTCCAATGAAAAAAGATGTGTATATCAAGCTACCCTATATGAGTGATCATAATGGCTTGATAACTAAACAATGGTTGAACGGTTGGTCAAATGACTTTCTACGCAGCTTAGATCATAATAATTGATAATGTGATGCCCGAATATCCATCTTAACCTTTAGAACATGAGAAAAATGTAATCACATCCCACTGCATTCATCAATTTGAATGCACATGTGGAGACATACTTAGGGATTACTCATCGATCTCTGAAAGTGAAGACTGGCTTCAAAAGCAAAGCGAATCCCCAGAACCCATTAGTAGTGAGAGCAGACGACCTAGCTCCTTTATTACGAAACATATTATAGTGACCGGATATAAAATTGATGTTTCAATACGCCTTTTGAACCGATCTGTCAAACATATTTGGGAAAGGACATATCCTAAAGTTTGTGGACGCCCTAGCTAGCAATTTAGAAGTTTAAACCACCTCTAAGCGTTCACAAGCAATTTGTCATCACATTAAACCTTCCTTGGTTAAGTTTGTTTTGATACCAGACAGGATAGATGTACTATTACCTCTTTTATATGGTTTTGTGAACTTCTTTGTTATTTTAACCTTCAATATGTCGTTTTAACTTGACCAAAGCCTATTTGCTCACCTCTTAACCATTAACTAACTTCATATATACTCCTATGATATGTGGTAAGCAAAAACATTACACACATGATTCAGAGAAATAATGTTTTCTTATTGCTTTGTCTAAATAATAATAATAATATTATTATTCCCATGGGTTCCAAGTAGAACACATGGCTCCATCGGCATAACTCCGTTTCATCATGGTCTCTGCAGTTCCGTTACTGCTTATTGGCTTTCATCTCTTCTCTTCCAAACTATCTGCTTCACTTCAGCCAGGGACACAAGCACAACTTATCGTCCCTCAATAGGGTTCCACCTGATAGGCTGGCGGGTTTGTGATTTCACTCAACAGCCTCCCAAGCGTCTTTCCTATCCATCTCCATTTCATTCGGCATATTTGTTGGACGGTAGTGCCTTGTTTAGTCCGTTGACAGAATTATTTCAGTCAGTTCATCCGATTTCGCCGAATATACCGACGGCTGCAGATGCCCATAGAAGTCTGTAGTGGCTTGTTAGAAATGCTTTTGATAACACTTGCTACAGGTCCCTAAACTATTTAGAACTAATTTGAAAATTAGAATCCTGTACCTTATGCTGACTGTTGTAGTAGGATTGCAAACTGACTTGAGAGAAATGAAGCTCCGTCTTGATATTCCGGTCCTGCCTCGGTATTTGGGAGAGTTGACTCCCTTCAGATTTTCTCCGTTTACAGTGACTGACCTAATGGCCTGACAACTTCATCACTTGAAGTCTTTTCCTTTCTGCTTCTTATGCCAACTTGTTGGTTTTCGCCTTAGTGGACAGACAAGACCTTGTAGAGACTTGAACTCTAGTAGCTGGATTGAAAATCCACAGTGCTAACTACTACACCTCGAGGTATTCTGAACTTTGAATCCAGCTACCCAACTTCAAGTCTCAACGAGGCCATCATCTTCTACTGGGTTTTCGCCTTAGGTCTTTGAGCTTTAATCGTCCAAGAAGTCTGTATCTTATAGTGTATTCTTATCGGTCCAACATACTCCTGTATACGGATTTCACCATGAAATGATATCGGTTAGAGAACCATTGGAAAATCGGTCAGAGGAGTACTGGACAGCAGTTTGGGACTCCTCCTCGGTACACATCCACCACCAGGGTCTTGAAACAGAACCCTCTCCTTACAAGATGGGCTAGCTCGTAGACCATTAAGCCGCTGGGACCCGATCTACTGGCCAGTGCATAAATTCCAACTTCTACCAATTTACAATATGGCGGGACCATTAGTGAATGTCATTGTTGGTGAGTGTTTGCACTCCCACCCAAACTGCTGTAACCCACACCCCACGGCCTACAGCATGATCCAGTCAACCATAAGTAGGAATGCATCAGTGATAATTAGCGGGTTTGTTTTACTTCTGCCTTCACTTGGCTTTTAGCATTATCACATAATTGTTGAATAAGTTCGGTAAAGCCTTGATGCACCCATCAATGTTGAAGTAGTTTCCGAAAATTCTTCATAGTCCTGGATGAGATGAATGGATTTATTCTGTTAAAATTGACTTTATATGTCATCAGATACTGGCTCAAATTTTTTTCTAGTTTCCTTGTCCTTCTTGTTACGGCATAGATCCTACTGAGGAAGAATTTGACTGAAAACTTTTACTTCCGGTTAACACATTTCAACGGTCAAATGTATGTGTGGATTTCAAAGGGAGAATGAAAATCCTTCCAGAAATCTACTGAAATACCCATTTAGAATAAATTATGTAAAGCTTATCGGGATTCTTTGTTTCCCATGTTGTTAAGTGATCATTACTGTGAGATGTATCCAAGTATTTATATATGCTAACATAAGAATTAAAGTAGTATCGTATAATTAGATCAAAATAATAGAATATTAGATGACATAAATAGGAAAATAAAAATGGTTGAAATTCTACGACCAACAGACTTACTTGAGAAAATGGTTGTCCACAGATTTCAACCTGTGCACAACCGGGTGGTTGGGTGGGAATGAGATCTGGGCAGCAACTGATAGGCAAATCAATTTCTAATAAAACAAACAGGAATCGTTTTAGAGTGATATTAATCCTTTAATGGAACATGAAGTATAGATAACTTAGTAATTAGAATTAGGAAGGATAAATATCCGTAGCTGGCAGTCAAACATCTATCTCAACTTCACCGACTTCGAAAGACCTTCGATAGCGTTGACCGAGACGTAATCTGCGAACTAATTCATCGCTAAGACGTGAAGTGGACAAATCTTAATCATCCTTATTCAACAGCTGTCTATATGACAGTGACACATGTCAGGTGGTCCACAATGGAGAACTCAGTGAGGCGTTCGAAGTGCATAAAAGCTGGTTGCCTATTATCACCGAAGATATTCTAAATTGTGGTGGACTGCTTTATGAATAAGAGTGTACGTTGGTAGTGAGGAGTCAGGAATATGCTGGCCGACCAACTCTAGAAGATCTGGATTTCGCAGATGATTTATGTTTAATGTCACACAAACTCGAAAACTTAGAGGCAGGAGAAAACTAACTAACTGGCTGAAGAGGTGGGTGGCGAAGACAGGACTCCAGGTGACTATAGAGGTGATGAAGATTACCAGGTCATGATGAAATCCTCCAACCAATCAAAGAAAAAAATTCCTACAAAAACCAGTACTTAAAAAGTCTACAAAAATAAACTGTTGGTCCTATTCCACTTCAGGTTGAAGAACACTAACTAGCCAACAAAATTAACGACACTCAAAGAATGAGCTGAAAACGTTACTAGTAGGGCTATGAAAGCTTCACCACTATAAACCATCCAGCTCAGAGGACACATCTGCATCAAAATCATCCACTTAAGTTACAAATCTTCTTCATTATAACTGAAATGAGATGTATTCCTACATATCAATGCATGTAGATAAATATGAATATCGTCGATTTGACTGCGGAAATGTAGAAATGTTTAAACAATGAGAACACTGAAACTGTTAAGAAGTACTCAAAATGTCTGATATTCAAACGAATAGGTAATTAACAACTGGTTAGGAATAAGCCACATGACAGTAGGAAATCAAATTTCAAGTCCGTAAACAACTGAAACCGGTGTAGATTAACAACCAATCACATATAAGATTATCAGGGAAGACAATTAAACCATTTATAGAGAATTGTAATGAATCCGTTTCCTGTTGAAGTTTGCGCTGAAGATGTTGTCTAGAGAGACAATGAATGAAGGAGTTGAGCGGTTAAACTTTCCAAAACAGAGAATGCAACCCTACTGAGTCTCACCACAAAACTTGTCAAAGAGTTGCAGCCATATTCCATGTAGCTCACAAAGACAGACAAAAGATAGGAGAAAAGTGATCTCGAAGAACGCTGAAACATTCTGTATGCTTTGATACCTCAGCAGAAGAATGATTTCCAGCTGCGTAGAAAGTTCAGTCTAAGAACCTCTTAGACTTCATCTTGTTTTTTACCTACTCGTAAACCCTGAAAAGGGGAAAGGCTAAACATGAGCCTGGCAACCTCAACCCATATGAAAGCATTACACCACGATTACTGAAACTTGAAAGCTTAGCGCTTGAAGCCCCGTATTCCACTCAGATGGCATGGAATGAAAGAGATTTATTGGAAGCGTTGGACTTATGAATAATAGTGTCAATTTTATTCTAATTGGATGATAATTACCACTTATATATTGATACAAATCTATAATACTGGAATGCAAGACACTACTGGAAAGCCAGATGGATGGACACGCCAACTACAAAAATTTGTAAGTAGTGTGTAAAAAGTTATATTTTAACATTGGTGTATGTTATTTTACTATTTCACATATTTATTTAAGGCTTCAATAGCGCAGTTCCACATCATCCTCTTCTATTCATCTGCAGGTGTATAATCTCCTCTTCTCTACTCTAAGACTGTTCATCTACTCATCACACGACCTCCTCCATGTCATTCTTGGAGGTATATTCAACTCATTGTCTTCTTTAAACTATTATCTCCAATCCAGCTCCATTTCTGTCTCAATTGTATGGCAATAAATGGAATCTTGTTTGGTTCAGTGCTAGAATTCCTAGTCTCTTATCCTTCTTGGTTAGCCATCTCATCTTCAGTACTTAGCAGGCGAGGTAAGATATTGATGAGAGTGTACAATAGCCAATTGTAAATGCTTCTGATGACACGTAAATCTCTGAACCATACCACTGTAACATCAGAAGGCAAGACAAGGAAGTCAAGGTATATTTTCAAGTGATCAAATCGCTGTTCATATTTATACAGTTTGTATCGTTTAACCAATCACTCGCCGTGAGATTTTGGCTTACATTAAGCGACATGAAAGAGAATGTTCAAATACATACACCATTCATTCTATTGCTAACGCAGTACTGAACTGTGAGAATAATATTCCGACTATAGCAACAAACAAATGTTCAAATAGATAGATCTAATTCTATTGCTAGTGCAGCATTTAACTGTAGGAATATGTGAGAATAATGTTCCGTTGGAACATACTGTCTGTATCACACCACCACACTTGTCCCCATCAAATACTTTCGAGTGAAGTTGGTTCTAACTTCTTGCTACTGGCAGCTTTGTTTACTTGTCTTGCTGTACCGAGTTCCGGAGCTCGCTGACATTCACTCACTTCTTTTTGTTACCCTTTCTGATCGCATATACGTGACGACATCTCGAGATGACGTGTATGGTCATTCTCACTTTGGAAACAGTTTGCACGACCCTGGATCGTGTTCTTCAGTGTTTCACCTGACACTATCACATGCTTCTATCGTCCAACCTTGCAGCAGCGTACCAAGTAGTAGCCTGTTCACTGAAGGATCTTGAACGCCAATGAACTCCACAACAGCCTCAAAGGCCTGCCCGAAGATGCATATGTCTCCTTCTTCAAAAACTACAAGGCAGGCAGCGATACCGAATACAACAGCAGAAGGCAAGACACGGAAGCCAAGGTAAATATTTTCAACTGATCGAACCGCTATTTATATCTATACAGCTTTATATTCTTTAACCAATCACTGGCTTGCATTAAACGACATCAAATAGAATGTTTAAATGCACACAGAGGATTCTGCTGCTAACGCAGAATATTGAACTGTAGGAATATGGGAGAATAATATTCAGCTGGAACACACTGTTGTCTGTATCACACCATCACAATACTACATGCACAGTACCGTAAAATACTTCCTTATTAAATGTTTACACAATGAATTGTAATGGAATAGATTATAAAAAATGGTGTTTTTAAACACAAGTAAACTCACCGTATGTTACATTATCATAAGTCACTTCGCGTTTCCAATTAATAGATGGATTTAACCATTCGGTATACGTGTAGATACCACAACATTCTAACTAAATCGTACAAAGGAATAAAAAAAAGTGTAATTCAACAAATGAGAGACAATTTGCATGGTCTGCTGCGATGAATAAATGTGAAACTAAAGTATAGGTCTAAAAAATCTTTTTTTTTAAAAACAGTGTATTTCCCAGTGTTGATTGCTCTTGTGGAGCCAGTTAGTAACAATTGGCCTACAATTAGACATCTTTACCATTGAATTTCTAGACATTATCCTTCATGGTTAAAGAAAGTAGACAAATAAACTCTTTTTCCAGGAATATCTGTTTATTGATCAGACTGCAGATATACTAAATAGATTGATTATGTGAACATGACATTTAAAGTTATCTGTTGTAATAAGAATGATCGTAATTCTACACTATAACTGATTTCATTGGAATCCATGTTGAAAAGCTCAGAAGAGTGGGGTGAAAAAGTTGGCAGTGGACCAAACGCAATGGAGATGTGCGGCTGAAGCCTTATGTTCCTCTAGGAATTAAAGGATATAATAATAATAATAATAAAGACAAAAAGTACAGTTTCTTAGTTATAGTTTGAAACTGTAGTAGTATGGCAATCCTGAAATGTCCAAGACTTTCAAAAACAAAAGTTGATTAAATTTCATTGGGACTTCAAGATTTATTACCTAGCTTAGTTGGTCACTGAAAGAAAAAAAAGAAGAAATTGATTATGTGGCACTTTATTCCTGCCAGCTGAGAGTGGGAGTTGTATCAGGACGTTGGTTAACACCACTAGACATGTAACTAAGCCAATTTAAACAAATAGTCAGCTAGAATCTTCAAACAAATTTATTTGAGCTGAATAAAAATGCCTATTAAATCTTTTTCAAAAAATGGTTACCAAACATAGAATATTCTTTTCGATAACCCGCTCTTCATCAGGTTCTACAGTTATACATACATAACAGTCCATGAATTAGTGTTATTATTACCGTCAGTGATGTTTAAATAACATCGAATCAAAAATAACAATTTTAATGGAGTACAGTTCGTTAGCATCAACATTACAATACACTACAATGAATATCAGAAAATTAGGAAGAATGATAACACGAATAATAACATGAATTTATAGTCTCGATAAAGACCAGGGCAGCAGTAGTGACTGGACTTGCTTCTTCTTTCGCATACAGAGCCCTGATTGTTTCAGGCGAATCACGGTAGCTTCTCTTATTTGGAGTATGGGGAACCTGGATGTTTTGGCAATTAATTTGATACCTGGTGGATGACAGAGAAGGATTCTTCAATGCCGGCTTTTTAGGTGGTTTGGACCAGGGGGTCAAATATCGAAATGATGATGGCTTTTACCACGCCTTAATTTAACTGTACTGGTGAATGTTCTAGAGTGAATACGAAAAATCAAGTTTCTAAAGCAACGGACAATATGACTTGCTCCATCACAATCTCAGTTGAATTGATAGATACAATTAGAAGTGGTTAATCTAGCTACTTCGTCTTTCACTTGAGGAATCACCAATATCGGTCTTGTGGAAAATAAGACTGGTAGTTTACCAGCATTAAAAAAATCTTTGAACTGAATTTATTAACTTTCTTCATGATTATTTCGCTAGGTATATCACCCTTGAGTTGCAGTCGTATGTATGTATATAGGCTTCTTGTTTACGGATAGTGGGTAGTCCATTTCAACTTTCTTAGTCATATATTTCCTGGTGAATTTGTCTGGATAGCTATTTTCATTTAACGTGTCATATACAATGCTAACTTCCTCTTCAATTACCTCTTCTGAGCATACAGCTCTAGCCTTGTGGCTGATGTCCTTACTAAATTTCTTCTGTACTGGAGAGGAACGAAGCAATGAAAATGTGTATATTATCCTGTCCATGCGCTTTTCCTATACAAATTACTCTTTACACAACTATCTAGTTTCCTTTTAGGAGGGCATCTAGGAAGGCAATTATATTTGCACGTGAATTTTCTTGCAGACTGTACTTCATTGAGTTCAGTTATTTATTGTCCTCCTATCCGAATCCTTACCATAAAGAATAATGGTGTCAACATAAACCGGCCGTTAAATGAGAATTTCATGTTTAGCTTATTCAAATGTTCATTTTCTGGTTCATTCAGCAAGAAGTTGGCCAAAATAGGAGCCGTTGGAGAGTCCATCACCACCACCTTGTCCACTTCTCTATAAATTGCGGCATCAAATCTAAAATTTACATTCATGGTACACCTTTATAACAATTGCTTTAGCATTTCCACTGGAATGGTATTGAATTGTAGTCCATTAATATTGTTATTATTGATTCGATGTTATTTAAACAGCATTAATGTTGTTAATAACACTAATTCATTCATTCACTATTCTGTATAAATAACTGTAGAACCTATTGAAGAGGGCGTAATCGAAAGGAATATTCTTTGTTCAATAACAATTCTTTTGAAGGAATTTATTCCTTTATTTCAATCTGTTGCTGTTCCTTGAAGCCCAAGATAGTGTCAACTGATCGATAAACAAATGAAAATGTCGGTGATTATCTGTTTTATGGCTTTGACTGGTAAATACAGTCTTGACATAGATATGGTGGGAAGATTTGTTAGATCTCATGAATGATACTGGCGTAGTTATTCAGATCATAATGGGTGTGACCTGCTCGATAGCGTAAACGAGAATCAAGAAAACGAATGTAGAGTAGTAGTTGGTCACTTTCAAATCGACCGATTTTATTACACTGCTGATGAAATCAGTCTCAAATAAGCGAACCGGATGTATGTCCGGCAGTTTGGTTGCTGCAATCTGGCTGGTTAGCAAGCACTGCTGGTTGATGTGAGTGATATCTATCTACTGAAGTCTATTAGTTAGTATTATATGCCCATTATGCACCTGTGACTGGTTTCTTTGCTAAACTTTCATTATATTCCCATACAACATCTTCATTTCTGTCTTCAGTATGCAGTGAATTCTTCATAAATGGTTATGGATTGATCTGAGTATCAATGTTCTAGGAATTCTTCTGCATTTTCGGTGCTTTCTTTGCCTGAGATTTGCATATTTTCCCAGTCGAATTAGCGTCCGTATTTGTCAACACTAATTGATACAAGGAAATGGAGATTATATTTACTAAAGTCAAGTTTATGTTCGTCTGTGCAAACACGAAGAGGACGGCTAATTTGACCAATATAATGTTTTTTACATTTGACTCAGTTTATCTTATAGATAATGTTAGACTGCTATTGTTTGTTTTGGTTAACGCAACATACATCAAAATAAAGTTTTTGGTGTGTAGTGGTGTCTACTTCAAGAAATTTCAGTAGTCTCTCAATGATTTCACAAATATTCTTCATAGATATATGGTAGGATAGTTTTCTTAGTATTTTCATTGGATGACTTAGAGTTGGTCGGCTGATGGAACCAAATTAGTTCACTTCGTGGTAAAGTCTGCACTGAAAATGTTGTCTAGAAAAATGATGGATGATTCGTAAATAAACCTTCTATAGCTCACAACACATAAACGAAAGCAGTGACATCGGCGGAAGCTCCATCCTCATTGCCGACTGGATAGACCCCACTTGGCAAGACTTCTCACTTAAACTCAAGGCAATTTTGCCCTGTATCTGGTCACTAGCGGGCATCAGATTAAGTTTCAATAATTGATTTTTGTAGGGATACTATTTGTTTCAGGTTGGACGACAGATTAATATCAGTTAGGGAACCATTGAAAACCAGTCAGGGAGTACTGGAAAGCTTCTTTTTCATCCTAGTTTGGGAATCATCAGTAGTGCGTAGCCACCGAGTCTTTAACCCACAAATCATTGAGTCAGGTCAGGTCATCATTGGATGAATGGTCTATAAGCTTACCTTGTAACTGGAAGAATCTGAATTTGTATACCGGTGGGTGCATACCGGTGCTGGTGAGTCTCAAACTGGGGGGGGGGGGGGGGCGAAACAGCTGTCCAGTACTCTCTGACTGTTTTTCGATAGTTCGCTGACTGATATCCATCCTAACCTAAACAAGAACACTGAAAGTGTACTAAGCTTAATGGGCAGACAACAGTTGAAATAATTTAATAAGATATGAAATTATTCACATAAATCCTCTCATTTAACTTACGTGTTGTTGAATATAGTTAAAAATAGGGTTGGAAAGTTATTGGTTTCAGCCCCTAAATACTGAGACTGAACCACTTCTAATTCTCTGATCAAACTATACATATGCTAAAAAAGAAATGAAGAGAAGAAAAAAGGATAAGATAATGAATGACCCTTAAAAATATCACAAATATACATATAATCAGGAACCAAATGTGTCTTAACATTGTAATAATTGCCATCATTTTCATGCATTCCTTTACGTTTCCAGTGGAAGATAGCGGGGGCTTCAAGCTAGAGCTTTGAAGTTTCGTCAGCAGTGGTTTTCGCCTTTACTGAGTGGGATTGCTGGCCTCACGACCAACTTTCCCTCATTACCGACTTTACTACAGGATCAGAGAGGTCGAGGTGTGCTTTGGCCGGGGATCGAATCGCGGACCACATACGTGATTGTCATGTAATGTCACTATTCGTTACTTTAGTTCCTAGTGGGACTTATGGTCTCCACTCTACATCCTCAGTGCAATTTCTTCTTTACTGCCACTTTTGATTGGCTCCATGACTATTCACTAGCTTTCGTTCGCCTTTCATATGATCTTCTTCATGTAATCTACGGATCCACACACACACACACACGTACAACTCATCGCTTGCTTTCCATTCAGGTCCCACTTGATGACCTGCCCTACATGGGTCCTCAGCGTCTGTCTAACTTGCTGGAATTTTCTTCTGAATATATGCTGTGCAGCAGGATTGTGATGGGTTCTCTGCGTGGTGGATTTCCTTATTCATCCTTTCTGGGTGACTGACCATCTAATCAAGCAAAGGCAGCTGTTAGTGAAATTCTTTAATGACATGTTTGAAATGCTTTCGCTAATGTACAAGGCAAGACATTGAATCATCAGGAAACTAGTGATTAACTTGATATCGGTGTTAGAATTTCTGATCTTGTCCCTGTGAATCTCTACACAACCAAGTACCTGATGCAACCCTGTGTAATGTGGAATATGGTCGTAGATTTCAGAACAATTTATTTCCAAGCTTTGATTCAGGAAAGGCGAATCATGTACTGACCAAATTGCAACTCTACGCATCATCATCACAGAACAAAGCATGGAATGGCGATCAAACCTCTACCTCAACTTTATAGACTTTGAGAAGGCCTTCGACAGCGTTGACCGTGAAGTAATTTGGAAATTACTCAAGTAATATGGCGTACCCAAATATTCATCAAGCTTATTCAACAGCTGTAGGACAATGGCACATGTCAAGTGATCCACAACGGAAAGCTCAGCGAGGCGTTTAGAGTAAACACAGGAGTCAGACAAGGGTACTTATTATCACCAATGAAATTCCTAATTGTGGTGGACTGGATTATGAGTCAGACAGTGAGTGAGAAACGAGAAGACAGGGATATCCTGGACCGACCGACGTAAAGAACCTAGAAGACCTGGATTTCGCGCGTGGATGATTTATGTTTGATGTCACTGTCAAAAAATCGAAGACGTACAAGCGAAAATCGATAAACTGGTCGAAGAAGCAGCCACAGAAGACAGGACTCCAGATGAACATAGACAAGACGGAGTTGATGAAAATAACCAACAATAACAACAACAGCAGCAGAATCCAGCGCCAATCACCATCAACGGGAGGGATTTGAAAGAGGTTACTTCATTCACTCACTTATCTAGGGAGCATTGTCCCAATTAAACGAGGAACGGACGAGGATGTCAAATCAAGCGAGAATCGGGAAGGCGAGCGAGAAACACATTCATCAACCTGAAATCAATCTGGAAATCTACGTCATTCAACTCACCATCAACAACAAAATTCGGTCGGATTATCAATACAAACAACGTCATGTCAGTCAGCTCTTCTTTACGGATCAGAAACTTGGTGAGCGGGTCACGAAGAATATTTCCAACAGCCTGTTGTAGACCTTTATCAACCAACAACTGTCTTCGCTGGATCTATACTGAAGATCAGATGGCCGGGCCGGAAAGAATCACCGCCAACAAGAAACTATGGCTGGGAACAAACAAAACAAGAACCAGTCGCTCGCCCAACAAATATGCAGGAGAAAGTGGATTGAGATGGATTGGACACTCGCTGAGGAGGCCACTGAGTGACATGGCGCGTGTGTCAGGCCACTGCTTGAGTGGAACCCGACAGAATGGGAATTGGCGAGTGGGACGTCAGTGGAAGGGTGATATGGAGAAGACTGTGTGAAGAGGAGTTGAAACAGTATGGAGTAACATGGATGCAGGTGAAAAGTACCACAGAAGGAAGACAGAAGTGGCAAGTGGAGACGTGCAGTTGAATCCCTATGTTCCACTGGGAACTCAAGGGAGCAATAATAATATATTAATAATATTTCCAAGTTTTAAGTGGATGACGTAATTAGTATTTGTGTGATACAGAACACAGAATGCTGTAAAAAATGGATTTATATGGTGACTTACATTTCCTACGAATTAAGTAGATTTATGAATGAATTCGAAAAATTTCGCTGGCGGGATAAGGAGACGATCAATATTATAATTGCATAAAAAAAGACACCACGTAGATGTTAGCATGCATAGTCCTCAGGGTTATATGCCATATTCTGAAGACATTATCACCTACAGTTCACCGAAGTCTTCTATGCCTACATGAAGCTGTCTAAAGAGTCACAGTTTTTCATAATTTAAGGCGGTGATTCTAGGGCCAATCAAATCTCATTGAAGTGTCTTCACTATACAACTGCCTTCGTTCAATGCTGAAGGTCAGATGATTGACCAGAAAAGATTGGCAACTAGGAACTCTATCCACGAACCAACCAAGAACATACAACGGAGTGTGCTACTAAAAAGATTTACCAGTGGTGTATAAAGAGACGTGCATAAGCATAAAAACATTAAATATCAGGGAGATATATTAGACGTTAAATAAAGCAAATGATTCAGAGTTGCGGAGATAAACGTTAGGCGTGAAAGTAACACAAGGAAACGTGATATGAAGGAAGGCCAGAAATATCAAGCACAACATGGAGGATCTATGTGAATGGTGCGTTGAAGATAAGCTGTACATGTAGAGGTATGAAATTGTGAATAAACATTCCTTTACTAAGTCTTTTGGGGATACAAGCTCAAGAGATCACTGAGTAACACCATGTGTCAGGCGAACTCCCGAGTTGAACCAGGATGCAGAATAAGTGACCAGTTGATTGTCACTTTGAGAATGACATGTACGAAGTAGTATGGGGAAAAAATAAAGCCTATAGGCGATTGTGTAGCCTGTTAAAGATGACTTTTGAGAATGGAGTGAAGGTAATAGCGATCTGTTTTGGTGATTGATCGTCATCCTGATTCATTTCGCACCATTTTCTAACAGCATTCAACTCATTACAGTTAACACAAAAATATTATTCAGTTTTCCACTTTATAACTTGAAACTATTCTATTTTTAAGTATGCAAACAAAATTCAAGTATTGGTTTGCAGGGATTTGATTGATTGGATACCGGATTTCATCATGTGCTGACATCGGTTAGAGAACCATTGGACAACCTGGGAGTACAGGACAGCCAGCTATTTCGTCCTAGTTTGGGACTCATCATCGGTACGCACCTACACCACAGGGTCGAACCCAGGAACGTCTGGTGACCATTAGGGTACGACACGTCGGGTGACAGGAAAAATACTCGCCACCAATGACATTTACTACTAGCCGTGGCACTATGTTGTGAACTGTCAGCAGTTGGAGTTCATGGCCTGGCCATTGGATTGGGTCCCAGTGTCTTAATGGCCTATGAGCTCGTTTTGTAACCAGAAAGTCCTAATTTCGAACCCCGTTGGTGGATGCGCACTGCGAAGAGTCCCAAACTGGGACGAAACGGCTGTCCAGTAATCCCTGGGCGGTTTTCCAGTGGTTCTATAACTGATGTCAACTCATGAAGAAATTATGTAACCAATAAGATAAAATTCAGATTGTTCCGCATTTCTCTCTTTTTCAGCGAAACATGTCACAGTTTCAAACTTTTAGCAGTGATGTTTTAATGTGGTTGCCAGCCTGAAAAACGGCTTTCCTTCCCGTCGGTGAAATAATACCAGCTGGTAAATGAGGTGAAGCTAAGTAGTTTATCATTTGGGAATCGAACCTGGCCCACCCATCTGATTGGTAAGCATAATACTACTGAACCTCAGACTCACATTATTATTATTATTAAATTATTATTATTTCCTTTAATTCCTAGAGGAAAATAGGGCTTCAGCTGCGCGTCTACATTGCATTCGATTCTTTGCTAGAGTTGTCACCTGCCCACATGCCTTCATCTCCTCTTCACATGACCTCCTCCAAGTCACCCTTGCACCGACGACCAACTCGCCGCTTCTCTTTCGGGTTCCACTGGAGGAATGGCCTGTCTAGTGGTGTCACTTGATGGTGTCCTCGGAGTGTGGCCAATCCGCCTTCATTTCTCCTGGAGATTTGTCGCACAATCGGTTCCTGGTTTGTTTGCTCATTGCCAGAGATTCCTGTTGCTGATCGTTTCTGGCTGGTCATCTGATCTTGAATACTATTGAGCGAAGACAGCTAGCTGTTGATGAAGGTGTGTAGTTTGTTTGAGGTGCTATTTATGACGCGTCACCAAGTCTCTGAGCCCTATAGTAGCATTGACTGACTTCACATTGGAGTTGAAAATCCGGATCTTATTTTTGATTCTGAGTGCTGTTGACCTCCAAACAGACTTGAGAGTAATGAAAGCTTGTCTTGCTTTCACGATCCTTGCTGCTTTGATATCTTCGTCAGTTCAAACAACCATTAGACAACTGATATTTTCTTTTAAAATAGGGATTCTTTGAAGTTAAAAATGAAATCCACGTTTGTAGTTTGAGATATATGGGCGTTGTAGTCCTCAGCCGCTGTCTCTATCCTTCTCTCTTTTGAAGATCTGCATATTAGTTATGAAGCTGTAACAGCTTTTATTTGCTTTACTTAACAAAGCCAACTATAAGAAACTGAAGTTTGAATAGATGACAAATATGACAACTACTTATAAGTCATTATAAGTAGTTTCAGAAAATTACTATCTCAGTTATGCAGGAAAACAAAGTGAATAAAGTTCATATAAAAGAAAATATAGACAGTGCATTAAAATCAATAAATGAGCAGAATACAAGCAGACAGTATATTATAATTAGGTTAGCTGTGTGCAACAAATGCATATTTTATATGAGACACAGAGTATATATGCATGTTAAATATGTGGCTTTGATATCACTTGATAGTAATCGATTCTACAAAAAGAGAAATTCAAGTGTTGACATCATTGACTGATTTCTGGATTTCATCATGTACTGAAATCGGTTTAAGGACCACTGGAAAACCTGGAAGTTCTTGACTGCGTACTGATAAATAGAGTCCCAGACTAGGACGAAATAGCTATCCAGTACTGCCAGCTGGTTTTCCAATGGTCCTCTAACCGATGTTGATTCATGATGAAATATAGAAAGAAAAAAATCCCCATTTAGACATTTAGAAAGCAAGAAGGATTGAGCAGCGAAGAAATATTTACTTTTCAATTAGATCCGCATCTCTGGCTCTACTCTAATATATATCCAGAGCATTTTTATTACAACAGTTTGCCAATCAAGTGGCGATAAGTTTGTTAGTCAATAATTAATCAGAGTCAGGTCAATCTGTTTAGACGACTGTCTCAATGAGGAGCTTAAGATTATTAGAGAATTACTTCGAAAAAAAAATGGTTGTCCAGATAAATTCATTGAGAAAAAAATGAATTCAGCTCCAAGGAGAGTCTGTATGGCCACAGTTCCGAAAAAACCAATGTTCATAAAACTGCAGTTCCTCGGTGACAACATCAGCGAAATAATAACACAGCGAGCTTCTGAAGAATGCAGTTAAAAGAGCTTATTATGTAGCAGAGGTACGTTGTCTCTTCACAACCGCCCCTATTCTATGTTCGAGAAATAAGGATAAACTACCTAAATTTGACTCCTCCTCTATGTGCATCTACCAGTTTGAGTGCAGCTACGGAGCCAGCTACATTGGGCGTACAATTAGGCAAGTTTATCGTCGTATTTCTGAACATCATCCAACATGGTTAAACAAGCGACAAACAAGATCTATTCGTAGTTCTATTTTAGCCCACCTTGTTGATACTGGGCATAAGATTGATGTGAATACTGCATTTACAATTATTTTTTCGCATTCCTACTAATCCTTATTTTGCTCTGCGAGTTCGTCTTCTACAGACAGCCAAAGCAATCGGAACTCACCTGAAGAAGCAAAGCCTATGTGTTTGGAAAAAAGTTTTACAGTCACTTTCCTTACCGTGACCGTCGTTACAAGAATGTACAAACAGGACTACTTCGCCCCCCTTACCCTTAAATCTTTAAAAACTATAAAAAATTATAATTGTCCAAATAATTTTTTAAAAATTTATTTTGACCACTTCATCTTTAATTTACGTGTTATCTTTGCAAAATTAATTTATTCTAACCATTTCTACCTTTTAATTGTGTGTATTGATTTTCTTCGTTAACTATTAACCCATTGACGTTTGGACACTGACTAATTATTGTTAACAAACATATTAGTGCCGCTTGATGATTGGTAAACTGTTGTGTATTGTAATAAATATGCTATTTATATTAGATTAGAGTAGAGCCAGAGATGAGGATCTAATTGAAAAGTAAATATTTCTTCGCTCAATCTTAATGATGAAATCTTAAAATAGGAAATTATTATAGATGTTTGCAATTTTTGAAACTGTCAACTAAGTCTATATTTTTAAGTGTTAGTTTCCCGGGATTTGGTTGATTTTTAACCTGATTATAGATTGATATCAGTAAGAGAACCAGGGAATACTGGACAGGTCATAAGGCCATAAATTCTACAATTTCTTGGTATTTAGAATCACTGACAACCAGTCTCACCGTTATCCAACCGATCCAACCAAGTGGATCCCTCCGGTCACAACTTCTCGCCAGGACTCCAGACAACTTTGTTATCCTGTGTAGTCAGTCGCTAGTGAGCATCCGTTAATATTAAGATTAAGTGAGTCAGCCGGGGGACAAACCTCGGACAGCTTACGTGGTTGGCCAGTGTTCTAACAGCAAACTACCGAAGGCAATCGAATGACCAAAAAACTGTTTAATCCCAGACTTCTTAAAGTGTTTGGAACTAGGTGATGTAAATTGATAAGTGAAATTGAGTCGGGATTCAGAAGTATTCTTGATAAGTTCCAATGCCACTAGTGACCAGATATGATTCCATATTAGATTAATATATTTGATTTAACACACAACAATACAGTACTAAATAATGGTCCTTTTTCAGTCATTCATTTGTCGTCCAGCTGATATTTTGAACTCAAATGCTACAAGTGTAAATAATGACCACTTTTCGGGTATTAACTCAAATGATGTCTTCAAAGTGTTTCAAATCCCTGAAAACTATTCAGACCCATGGTCCAGATGGTGTACCAGCTGTTATCCTCAATAAATATGCCGACATTTTATGTCATCCTCTCACTGGTATTTTTAATGAATCAGTTTCCAGTAACACTGTACCTACTTCGTAGAAGGACATAAAAATTGTTCCTGTGCCTAAATCATTAAATGGACAAACTGTTGAGTTCAGACCTACTGCCAATACTTCGCCTTTTATCTAACTTGGGCCTTCATTAAAGTCCTCTAGTGACCCTAATCAATTTACTTATAAACATAGTAGGTGTACGTTAGATGCCACTGTCGTCTTATATCATAATATTGTCTTTAGTTTAGATAGAAATGCCAAATATTATGTTGGGTGTGCCTTCCTAAATTACGCATCCACCTTCGACTCTGTAACTAGCGCTCTTTTGTTAAACGGGCTTACTGCGTCACAAGTATAGTGATAAATTACCCAGTGGTTGCATTACTATTTTTATGATAGGAAGCAGTACATTGTTTACAATGGGAAGTCCTCCACTGCCTCCTTGACTTCCTCTAGCAGGTGTTTCTCAAGGAAATGTTTTTTCTCCTTTTCTGTTTTCCTTCTTCTTACATGACATCCGCATCCTGAAGAAGCCAATTTTGTTAAGTATGCCAATGATCCATCCAGCTGTTTCTATGCCGGTGGTTACTTCTCAGTCAAACCGTTCCAAAATGAAAAAATTTTCACCGGAAATTAGTCAGTGGTCCTTATCAAATGGTCTTAGTCTGGATCTCTCCAAGTGTCAGGTTGTTAATATCCCTTCCAGTGGCTAGCGTGATTTACATCAACTGGTTCTTTCTCATGACTCTACTATCACAGATATTGGAGAGCCGCTGGAAAAGCTGAGAGTACTGGACAGTAGTTCCGTCCTAGTTTAGGATTCTTCAGCAGTACGTACCCGCCGGGATTCGAACCCAGGACCTTCTTATTACAAGGCTAGCGAGCTCGTAGACCATCGAGCCACTGGGATCGGATCCAGCGGTCATTGAATCCTAACTTCCACCAATTCACGACATAGCGCGACCACTTCGCAATGTCTTCTTCGATGAGTTACTGCCTCATCTTCAGTCTGCTGTACCTTACTGGTCACGGCTTTCCACTAGAACCCCAGTGCTTCAGTTGTCTACGAGCCCGCCTTGTAACTAGAAGGTCCTGGGTTCGAACCCTGGTGGGTGCGTACTGCTGAATAGTCCCAAATTAGGACGAAACAGCTGGCTGTCCTGTACTCCAAGGTTTTCCAGTGGTTCTCTAACTGATGTCAGCTCATGGTGAAATCCCCCATTCAATCAAACAAAAATCTCTGCAAAACTAATGCTTGAAAATATCACAGATGTCACAGAATTTGAAACTAAGTCGAATGTTATATACGTAGGACTGAGTATTTCCCCTGATCTTCACTCGTCTTCCACGTCATGTTAATTTCCAGAGAGATAATTGGTTTGGTGTTGCATGTAAGGAAGTTAAGATGATCTAGTATCACTCAGTCATTGTATACTGTTACTGTTTGTTAATTCTTGTGATATTCTGGCTATACTTCTTTACTTTTCCCCATTAATATTTCCCGGGCTGTTTAAGAAATATTTTGTTTTACTGCTAAGGGCACTAAAAGCTGTCAGTAGGGCGTGTGTGATGTTGCTAAGCCAACTCGTTAGTACCACTGTAGATAGACACTTGTATTCCTACAGGAAATTAGCAAATATTATCCTGTCGGACTGTGAATATCCTCTCCATGAACAACGCTCTCATTGCATCTCATGCGGTAGAAGTGGAAGCAACTATAGAAGACCGTATGCTCGGATGACTTAGTACAAAATTCTACAATACCTTATCTAGCACAAACTTTATGTGACGATTACTCACAGTAAGATATTGTTATTCTTCTTCAGTTTTTGCACTAATTTAAGCACTGAGTTCTACCCTGGGTGGGAACAACATCACTCACCACTGAATGCAGGCACATCCAGCCACCAAAGAGTCTCAAATAAGACGAAATGTGCTTTTTCCTGGATTCCACTGCTAGTCACCATCCACCAATTAAAATTCCAAGTAATCACAAAAAACCCGCCCACGGGTTTTGTTAAAAAAATTTATTTTCTAAAAATAACCAAACAGGTTTAAGCACTTACAGTTTTTCTATTTATATACACCAGTGTTAAGAAGACACCAGCATCGGCAATCAGAAGAAAACTCATGACAACGATATTCTAAAAATAGAACAGAATAATACGTTAAACGTAAAAAAATGAAAATAATTCTTTATACTACTGACTGATTTGACATGAGTAGTTGTATACGACTCATATTAACCAGCGAGGCAGATCGAGGTGATCTAAACACCGGTAGATGATCGTTTCGATTGTTTCGGATCGAGCTCATCAATGGTGTACCCGACTGAAAACTGTGAATTTGAAATTGATTCTGTCTTCTCCTGAGAATCTTTGACAACATACCAGTAACAGTTCAACATGGTAAATTGACAGAAGTTAAAATTCATGGTGCGATTATTGGATTGCATACTAACGGGTAAATGGTCAGCAGACACGCCTAGTAATCTGATGGTCTTGAATTCCATCACATCAACTGCAAATGTAGTTACTACTGAAGAATCCCTCCTGTAATAGAATGAAACGTTTGTCCATTACTCCCTGCTGGTTTCCAATAGTTCCTTAAAGTGATGTTATTCTGTGGTCAAATCAACGTACGCATAGTTTACTTGCTTGATTGGAAATTGTGAGGCATTTGCTTAGAAATTATTATTTTAATCAATATCTACTAAATTGATGCATGGTTCTGGTTTTGACAGAGATTCATGTTTATAAGCCTTTGAGTGTTAGTTCTTATGATAGACCTGTCAACTTCGAATCGTATAAACTTCAGTTAAGTAATTAGTCAGTTAAGGATTCCATCTGATAACACTTCATAGTGCACCATCTGGCATGGTGATCACACTAAATTTCGGACTAACTGAATTCAGCCTTCATTGAACGAGGGACTAGATTCAAAACTTCATTAACTACCCAGTATCCAATCAAAGTATTCATTACAGTTTCACTGGAGGTCAGTTGCCAAGCCCATTAACTCGGTGGTTACTCCACTGACCGCACCCCTGGATAACGCGAGTTCGAGTTTCAGAAGGAACAATAACTCTTTCAAGACTGCAGATATATTGTGCTGACGAATGTCAACAAGCATGACACCCCTGTCGAAAAGCTTCTTACTGATCGCCCCACAATTCAATAAACACCGTAATGACAAGCCACCTAGCACGGTGGAGATATTGTAAACTTGACTGATGTAATCTCGTCTACGACAAATGTTAGGCTAGACACATAAAATTATTAACCACTCAATGCTCAATCAAAGGACATTTGTATGTTTTCATCTGTGTTAAGTAGAGATATGAGAGAGAAGAAGAGTTGTGCGACAGTTGTAACTGCTAGTAAACGACATTTCGTCATACCACCTCATTGTAGCAAAGTGAAACTACTCGAGTACTACGGCGTACCCCAAATATTCATCAAGCTTATTCAACAGCTGTATGACAACGGTACATGTCAAGTAATCCACAATGGAAAACTCAGAGGGGCGTTTGGAGTAAACACAGGAGTCAGAAAAGACTGGCTGATTATTATCACCAATGATATTCCTAATTGTGGTGGACTGGATTATGCGTCAGACACTGGGAAACGAGAAGCAGACAGGGATATCCTGGACCGACCGATGTGAAGAACCTAGAAGACCTGGATTTCGCGCATGGATGATTTATGTTTGATGTCACTGTCACAAAATCGAAGACTTACAAGCGAAAACTGACAAACTGGTTGAAGAAGCAGTTGGCGAAGACAGGACAGACTCCAGGTGAACATAGACAAGACGGAGGTTATGAAAATAACCAACAATAACAACAACAGCAGCAGAATCCAGCGCCAATCACCATCAACGGGAGGGATTTGAAAGAGGTTACTTCATTCACTCACTTATCTAGGGAGCATTGTCCCAATTAAACGAGGAACGGACGAGGAAGTCAAATCGAGCGAGAATCGGGAAGGCGAGCGAGAAACACATTCATCAACCTGAAATCAATCTGGAAATCGTCATCATTCAACTCACCATCAACAACAAAATTCGGTCGGATTATCAATACAAACAACGTCAAGTCAGTCAGTTCTCATATACGGATCAGAAACTTGGCGAGCGGGTCACGAAGAATATTTCCAACAGCCTGTTGTAGACCTTTATCAACCAACAACTGTCTTCGTTGGATCTATACTGAAGATCAGATGGCCGGGCCGGAGGGAATCACTACCAGCAAGTAACTATGGGAACAAACAAAACAAGAACCAGTCGCTCGCCCAACAAATATGCAGGAGAAAGTGGATTGAGATGGATTGGATACTCGCTGAGAAGGCCACTGGGTGACATTGCGCGCGTGTCAGGCCACTGCTTGAGTGGAACCCGACAGAATGGGAATTGGCGAGTGGGACGTCAGTGGAAGGGTGACATGGAGAAGACTGTGTGAAGAGGAGTTGAAACAGTATGGAGTAACATGGTTGCAGGTGAAAAGTACCACAGAAGGAAGACAGAAGTGGCAAGTGGAGACGTGCAGTTGAAGCCCTATGTTCCGCTAGGAACCCAAGGGGACAATAATAATAATAATATGTAATTCACCAAAAGATATCTTTATTAAAAGCGCATTAACTTACAATTTTCATGAAATAATCTGCCCGACATATAGACGCAAATACAATACAAATTGAGTTGAATACAATCACTAATAAATGTATGAAAATCAATGTGGGCGTTGGTCCTATACAGTTAAAGGAAAAAAATACAGACATTAGCTATTTGCACAAATGCATTCAATTGTATAAAAAAAACTATTAATGCGGTATTAGAGTGGTGTTATTTTTGCTATTGAGGGTAACTGTCATGGAGTAGATGTTTATCTGAGGCACCTCTGATAGCCATAAAGCCGTAGGAAGGATAAGAAGAAGAAGAAGAAGGAAGTGAACAACGCAAGACTAATCAGCTGGTCAGAGTGACAAAGAACATTCATCGCCGAACTAGTCTAGGTAAGTAATCTAAGCAGTTCAAGCAGAATTTAACATTAAATCGTACTAGTGTTTCAGTGGCAAAATGCTCTCCCGAAACATGCGTAAATCTTCCCCACTTTAGTAGTCAATAGTAATATTAATATATATATGTAAAACTTCGGCAGTCTGATAGTAAGTAATTCCATATTAGTTTGTTTATTAGATGTATCACACAGTGAAATAGTATCATTTACTGGATGACAAGGTTTCGAACAAAATTTATTACTGTTCATAATCATATTATCAATTGTAACCACACAACTTCGAAACTTGAGTTTTACAGTTTTCTTTGTTTACTCCTATTTGTCGTTTTAGGGGTAGTTGAATTTTCCAGATGTCTGGATGGACAGGTGATAAAATCATTCCTATTACACGTGTATTTGCGGTTGATTCGATAGATGAAGCCTCCGTTATCAATCTCTCCCTCTACCCTGTGACATTATATTTTAAAACTGTCATCCTATCCAATCCTGTTGTATGGTTGTGTATGATTGCATGTAGTGCTACAGCTGAACTATTCTCTAGACTTTTTATTCGGGTCAACCAATCTAGATTTTGCCGCCAGGTTTTGTGTGCTCGGATAGTCTGACTGACTGATCCCGTTCAGCTACTTTCACTTGTGTATTTGACCTGACAATCATTCCAGCAGGCAGGGTATTAGATAAACTAAATTATTTTGTTTCAAGGGCTCCCCTGGATTCTTTAACCGACTAAGCTTGTTTTTAATTGCGTTTGTGGGTTTGAATGTCACTTAATGCAGAATTCTTAACAGGGCAGGAATAAAAATGGTACAAAAAACGTAGCAAAATCAAGATTAGTTGACCCTAATGAGATAAGAAATCTAGTGAATAGTACAGCCATAGCACTACATTGCATGCGATTAAACACAGCCATACAATATGGTAGGATAAGATGGCAGCTCTGAAATCTACTATAACTAACATGGTGGAGGGAGAGACTGATGACTGACTGAGGCTTTGTTTATCGGATCGACTGAAAACACATGTAATAGGAATGATTTTATCACCTGTCCACTCCGACATCTGGAAAATCTTACTCCTTTTATGACGACAAATAGGAGAGAGCAAAGGAAGTCGTGTGATTATAATTGCAATTATATGTATCTAATAAACAAACTAATATAGTTAATAGTTGGTCTAGGAAAGAGGGGTGGTGAAAGGTACTGCAGCTCCAACTAGAGAACGGATGCAAACATAATGTACCGTCATCAGTAAGCCAACTAACAGCCCTCTCATCACTGACATTTTAGAATTATTGAGGCCGCCATTAACTTCCCAGTTCAGAGTACTATACAGCCTGACTAGTAAAGGGAAGACTGATATATGTGTCCATAGTTAGTCAACAGAACATCTAATAAGCTCGAAAAATTCAACTTCTTTTAGGAAATCCTTTATTGTATTGCATAAGTGATGCGTTGAAATCTCTCAACAGGAGTGAAATCATGACATCTATGCATTGCTGAAGCATCAGAAACTCGAAAATTCCAAACTAATGCTAAATATATATGCCAAAGAAGCATGTTCAACCTTTGTCCATACAATAGACATAGTAAACAGTCTATTTTCTCAAGAAAATCATTAATATATGAACACTCTTTTTATTAGTCGTTTTCAAGAGAGATGAATACCCTTAAAAGTTTAATGAAAATTTTGAAAACCTGAATAAAAGTGTCAACAGCACGTAACCATCTTCACAACAAAAATTTATCCTACCATATATAAAGAATATTTCTGAAATAACACCTAGAATATTAAAATCATTCGAAACAGATATCCTACACGAAAGAACCGAACGATCCAATAGTAAACGATGACAAGATCAACATTATCCACCTTGATGAGCGTTATACTGGTCAAAATGGACATCCACGTCAACTCTGAGTCCAAGATCATGACCTAGCGAGCTGTCGAAAGACACTACGTGTTTTATTTCGTATTTAGAACATTTAGACAACTATGGACACTAATTTAACTGGGAGAATATGAAAATTTTCACTAGGAGAAACACCAAAAATGCCAGAGAATTCCTAAAATCCTGGTATTCAGAATAAGCGACATGATAAAACTGTTGAATGCGAAGTCAATAAAAGCAATCAACTTTTTAAACATTTAAAAAATTTTGGTTCCTTTACGTTCCCAGTGGAACATAGGGCATCAAGCTAGAGTCAGTGGCGTATAAGAATAAAATATGTGTACTGTGGTCCAGTATAATTCCATTTTGGGTAAAATTTATTTTGATAAAGTCTCACAGTGTTATAAACTAATATTTACTGATGACGTTTCGAGCACAATTTATTACTGCTCCATAGTCATATCAAGGTACTCACGCAACTTTCTTACTTCGCTCATATAATTCTATTATTTTTCATCGCTTCATTTGATTGGTAGTGATGAGTCATTCCTGTTGCACGTGTTAGGTGTAGACTCGATGAACAAGGATTCAGTAATCAACTACCTCTCTCCACCTAGATAGATTACTTTTTAGAATTTTAACCCTCTCCCACCCGATTGTGTGGTTGTGTGTTAGTGCGTGCAGTGCAATCGCCGAGCTTTTTTTCTAAATTACTTATCTTCTTGGGTGGCGTCAATCATTCTTACCTTAGCTAAATTCTTATGTTCCGACAATCTGACTATCCGCGATCTACTAGTCTGACCCATATAGTTGACTTCACAGTCATTGCAGGGTATTTTGTAAATTATATTATTTTTTCTAATTGGGTCAACACGGTCCTTTAACCTACAGAGCTTGTCTCTAAGTGAGTTTGTGGGTTTCAGTGCCAGTCTAATTCCATATTTATTAAGAATCCTATGTAGGATCTCAGATGTCCCCTCTTTATATGGTATAACTGTAGATGACTTATATTCTCTCTTATTTATGTTATTATTAATAGTTTCACAATTATTTTTATTTTGCTTTTGACCTTTCTGATCTTCTGAAAGAATTTTATAAGATAGTTATTTGATACCAGCGCTTCTTCTGTCTGTTTTATTTCGTCATTTAGGTCTTTTCATGTACTACATATGGAAATATGGAAAATACTACTACCCATCAAGTGAAGCGATGGAAAATAATAGAATTATATAAACGAAGTTAGAGAGTTGTGTGAGTACCTTGATATGATTATGAGCAGTAATAAATTGTGCTCGAAATGTGGTCATCAGTAATTAATACTGTATAATATTGTGAGACTTTATCAAAATAAATTTTACCCAAAATGGAATTAGAGGCAGTTGCATCTGTTTTTTTACTGGATGGAGTTGCTAGTTCCAGATAACACAACCACATCAAAAAGTTTCCAGCATTATTTAAAATCAACATATTTCTCGCAATGATAAAAACACCTATTTTCTTCAGACGTTTCACGCATATTACATGATGTTTTATCCGCCTAATCAACAAATAACCCTGGCAGTAAACCAACCAAGAACATATTACTCAATAAATACACAAAAAGAGATGGAGTGGGATGCACTGAACATACATTGCATAGAATGTTGAGTGGAATCATGCCCCAGCTAAGGCATCCAATGGAACCCGAATGGGTAACGACAACGAGTTGGGCACCGCTTCTAAGGTGACATAAAAGCCACTGTGTAGCCAGTTATAAAAGCATACAAACAATAGGATGGTGTGAAGATGTTCTATCCGGGCCTTATGTTTCACTGGGACACACCAAGGGAATACTAATACTAATAATAATCCTGTATAATAAACACGTTATACACTTCATAAGTCGTTGCATGTTATTAATCAATCCAACAAACATTTACATAAATACTTCGGCAACATTATTTACAAAATCAAAACAAGTGATTCAGCGAAGAGACTGTTTTCAACGAATTTATCATCAAGCTGAAAACAAAACCTGCTCCAGTCAGGTTTGCCACTCGTATTCGGCGCATATGTAGCCCTGATACTGTGGATGATGAGTTATAAATTTTTAGGAAAGTCCTAATAGAAAATGGATTTCCACCACGTTTTATAGATAAGAATATACATTCAAAGCCTACAAAACGTGACTTATCAACCTTACCCAAGAAAATACTTTACATGAGCTAGGAATTCAAAGGGGTCTTAGCTTCCGATATCATGAAACGAAGGGTAACACAGTCCCTGAAAAGAACATTCCTTGCTGCATCTCTGAGAATAGCCTTTACTAGTCGACCATTACTGTTCAGTAGCCTGATGGAAAAGATACCGCTGTTGACGAACTCTATGTGTGTTTATCAATTCACCTGCTCGCTCGTGTGGGGCTAGGTATATTGGTCGTTCGACTCGAGTCTTCTCCAAGAAGGCACAAGAACACTATCCTGCATGCTAGTTGCGAAGAGGTGGAAGTGGAGCTGTAAGAAGCGTGATCATTGAACATCTGGTGGATAGTTATCACCCTATCTCTATAGCTTCCGCTTTAAAAGTTATCTACAAGGGCAAAAAGTACTCTACCCGAATCACGACGTACCCGACTCATCTGTATTGCTGAAGGTTTGGCTATCGAAACAGAAAAGCCAGATATCTGTGTATAGAAAACGTTCGTTCAAACCCTCCAACTTTCATGGTATTAATCCCTCTCTGCTAAAGTATGGTAATCCCCAATCATATTTTGACTCTACCAATTTCTCATTTTTTTATTTTGTCTGTTCAATTTGTATTCTCTTTCTTTATTACGTCAATTGTTAGTATTACTATTCTCACTTTGAACTGTCCCCGGTATTATTTCACTTGTTCCACTTGTCATTCTAAATAAATTCTATGCTATCAAATTTCACACAATATTACGTAATGTTTTTTGTTTTATTCGATTTGTCTACCAATCCTACAGCTGCACACCCTTTTTCAAGTTCTAGCTATCCCATGAATTATTCTATATATGACATTAATTTGCTTTGCCACTTGGCATTTAACTATGATTATAATCACAAATATTTTAATTGCATTTCATACTATTACTATTATTATTTTATGCATTCACACCTATGATTCAATTCCCTCACCGGATATAACTTCTTAAAAACACCGTATATATATACGATTGTACAGGTTGATGATAAATTCGTTGAAAAGAGTCTATTTGCTGAATCATCACTTGTTTTGATTTTCTATATGTTACAATGGGAATTTTTCATAAGTTAAAAAATAACATCATTTACCTCTGAGTAATTTGTATAAGTGTAGTGACTCAGGATCACTGAAATTCACATTCGACTTCACATACTGATTATCGACAGCCATAACAATACTATGAAATAAGTTATCCATCGATTCAAATAATAAAGCAGTTGGTCCAACAATATCTCGAACTGCCATTATCTTATTAGGGAAAATATTGAAGAATAAAAACGAGAGAAAATATAAGGACGACAGGACATCAAATTACTTCACATTATTAAGCATTAATATGAGATCTTTGGTTGAACATATGAAAAGCTGGACACTATCGAATCATATGTTAGGAAAAAACACCTAACAAAAGACGAAATGTATAAGAAGTATCAACTAGTCTTCCTCCTGAATGCAATATAGGCTTTTAAGGTTTGAGATTTCAATTTTCGGTAGCGGCGCTATTGTCTATTTAAGGTGATCTTTTCTAAGCTCAGACTATAGGTTAGGCGAAGTGGAACTGACACCGGCTGGCGTGCGTGGTTGGTGAGCATTCTACCAATGAACTACTGGTGAATATTTACATAATATAATATTATTGACGATAACAACTGAATGACCTTGAACAGATCAATCACATAGCTTAGGATTAAAAATGGATGACTGATATAGTTGATAGGAAACACTTTCTTTTTAATATCGTTTACTCTTTGCTAGCAGTTTAATGATAGAATGTTCACCACCCACGTGAGTAGTCTAGGTTTTGTACCATGCTGATAAACGCCCTGTTCCACCTAGCCAGTAAGAGGGCAGGAAAAGAGGGAGTGAGTTTAGAATGTTGCTACCAGCCCCAAAAAGCAAAGATGCTGGAGCTTCTAAAGCTTAAAACGGCTAGCAAAGCAACGTATGAAGAAATCATTTCCTCACGTGTTCAGACCGTGAATTTAGCTAAGAGGCTTCATGTCAGTCGAACCCCCTGAGGACTTGGTTAAGATGTAAAAGTGAATACATTGAAAGTCATGTGCTTAGGGTTTGTTAAAAAAATTATTAAATGAGTTAAGTTGCTAACCACACGCCCGACTGTCACTCTTCTTCGGGCATGGTGTCATTCGTGAGGTGTAAGAGTACATCGACTCGAATACGAAACCACATATCTAACATGGTCCTACTTATGGAATACCGATGCAAATAAAACGTATGGAAGTAGTCAATTAAGATTACTGACACTAATGGGTTACTCCTTTTATTACCAAAATAGTTAATAAAATAAGTGTCCATAAAATTTTACTACTATAATATTAGGCTTGACAGAAATAAGCTTGATGCCTGTACCAAAGTCATCTGCTGGATTAGGTCTAAAGTTTAGACGAATCACCATCATGTCTCCATTTTTGAAAACTATAGAGAAACTTCTCTCTCATATGCTTAAACCTTATTTGAAATCTTTTAATCGCCTAAAGCAGTTTGTTAATACAAATGCGGTAGAAGCACATTAGATGCTGTCATTTTACTGCACCAAAATATTGCTTCCATTCTTGATAAATGCGCGAAGTTTGGTCAGAGCCTTCTTTTTAGACTACAATGCTGCTTTTGACTGTATTCCTGGGGCATGTTTACTAAGCAAACTGATTTCAGTAAACACTGAGTCCAGCTGGGTCACAAGTTGGCTTTTGTCTTATTTTCCTTTTAGGAAACAACATACTGTAGCTAACAGAAACTAGTGTGCCTCAAAGCACTGAAGTACTCTCTCCACTATTTGTTTTTCTTTTTGCATAACCTCCTGTATTCCTCGAAAGCTGATGATCTAACCATTTCTATCCTAAGTAGTTTCTGCTTTGAGTCGCTTTTAGTTGTATAGATTCTTGTCTGCAGTTAAGAAATAGTCTCACCTAAATGATCCTTAACTAAATCTATCTAAGTGTTGCAATTTTGATTTTAGTTTCAGTCGTGAACAAGACTTGCGTTCGTGGACTGATTCAGTTTCATGATTCCAATATTATCGACAGCATGTTGATAGGGAGTAAATTGAATATCTCTCATCTTGGTATCAACTTCTCTTCTAATCTCTGTTGGTCATCTCATATTCTGTCAGTTTCTAAGATACTTTTTCGTTTAACTTATTACATAAAACATTTGAGATTTTCTGGCATAACTCAACCTCTTCTGTTACAATTTTTTAATTCATATATTCTGCCTATTCTTCTTGATTGTTCACCATTACTCCTCCCAAGACTTCTTAGAAACGACTATATCATTTAACGTAGAACACTGAAGGTTGTAATTAGGGTTAGTGGTGTATCTTTGAATCAGCTGACTGACACTATTGTCAATATAGGCACTTCATTTCTTGTAAGCATTTGGCTAAAGCTTTCTTGTCTGATATTGAACATCCTCTCGACTTATTCTCAACGCTTCCTTGTATCTCTCCGGAGAGTGGAGGCAGAAGAAACTTCATAAAAAATTTACGCTTGTACAGCTACTTAATATAAAACTTCTACCATACCATCAAATTTTGGCACGGTTACTTTATGTGTGAAGAGAGACAGTCAGGTGTTAGAAAAGAAGAATTTGTAACTTTTTAAAAGCAGTAACTCCACAGCAAAGTGCAAGCAGATATCTGTCTACTTATACTTCATTATGTTTCCACCAGTATTCTGTTTATAGTGGTTTTCATGTATGTACATATTTATAAAATGAGGTAAATTGTTGCAATGCGTATAAAATTGATGAAAATTCCATTGTGTATAATTATTATTGTTGTGAATAAAGTGATTATTGTTATTATTATTATTGTAGGTAAAATCAAAATATACATAAAATTCAATCGATAGAATATGACAGCTACTCTAATTTTTCGCGGTATATCACTACTGCTTACAACTTGTAATCATCCAGCACTAATTCCGATAACAAACACGTAGACTGGGTCTTCTGTTAATAAAGCTGAAATCTTTGTGTAAATTCCGCCTTGTAACCAGTGTTACTAAAAGAATCCTTGAAAACCAAGATATGTTTAGCAGTGAGTATCTATGATCCCGTCAGTAATGGAATAGATGACCTTCAAATCAGCCCGTCGAAATCAATAATCCATTATATTCACCTACTGTCAGATCACAAAATAGCGTTTCCACAAGCCAGTAGCATCGATAAGCATTCCATTCATTGAACTGAACAACTTATTATTATATCCTTTAATTCCTAAAGGAACATAGGGCTTCAACCCCAACGTTTCCATTGCCTTCAGTTTTCTGCCAACTTTTTCACCCCGCTCGAAGTCTACCCACATGTTTTCATCTCCTCTTCACATGACCTCCTCCAAGTCACCCTTGCACTGACGACCAACTCGCCGCTTCCCTTTCGGGTTCCACTGGAGGAATGGCCTGTCTAGTGATGACACTTGATGGTTTCCTCAGCGTATGGCCAGTCAATCTATCTCCATTTCCTCCTGCCTATTTGTTTCACAATCGGTTCCTGCTGTGTTGGTTCGCTCATTGCCAGAGATCTTTGTTGCTGATCTTTTCTGGTCGGCCATCTGATCTTGAGTATTGAGCGAAGACAACTAGCTGTTGATGAAGGTGTGTAGTTTGTTTGAGGTGCTCTTTATGACGCTCTGGCCAAGTCTCTGATCCATACAGTAGCACTTGCTGACTTCACATTGGCCTTGAAAATCCGGATGTTATTTTTGATGCTGAGTGCTGTCGACCTCCACACAGACTTGAGAGTAATGAAAGCTTGTCTTGGTTTTCCGATTCTGGCTTTGATTCCCTCGTCAGTTCCGCCTGCAGCTGAAACGATGCTTCCCAGATAAGTGAAGGAGGTTGTTTCTTTCAGGTCCCTCCCATTTATGCTGGCTGATTGTTGTCTGTTGTTGCTGTTGGCCAGGAATCTTCATCACTTTTGTTTTATCTATGTTCACCTGTAGTCCTATCTGTGATGCTTCTTCTGCCAGCTTGTTGCTTTTCACTTGCTTATCTTCCAGTTTGTGGGAAATCAGACATATATCATTGGCAAAGTCCAGATCCCCCTCCAAGTTTTTGCGTGACTCCATTTTATGCCGGTTTCCTCATTGTCCGTTGTCTGTCGCATTATCAAATCTACCACCCTCAATCAGGAAGATCATTGGCGATAGTAGACAGCCTTGCCTCACTCCCATCCTTACTTTGAAGGATTCTGTAAGTTTTCCGTTGTGGACTACTTGACATGCAGCATTGTCGTGTAACTGTTGGATGAGATGTATAATTGTCGAATTGAACACCTTTTTGACTGGATAATCAACCGTTTGATCTCTATTAGTGTCATGCGTCTGTACTCCTAAAGATTCCAGAACTAGGACGTATCAGCTATCCAGTACTTCGTAGGTTTCAATGATTCCCTAAGGGAATTCCCTACCTCGTAGAGAAATCTACACCGAACTTCATCGGAACTCCTGCAAAACTTAAAATATGGATATTCCAATCTTTTCAAAAGTCGGGTTACATAAACTAAAAACGGTAAATTAAGGCCTCTTAGCAGCCGAATGTATTCCCTTACACCTTTTTAAAAAAAGAACATTTTCACATGATTCAAGTGTTGCTTTACAAGGATCTGATTTATTTATTTCAGGCTTTGATCATGAGCTGACATCGTTTAGAAGACTTTTCAAAAACCTTGAAGTACTAGACAGCCAGCTGTTTCGTCAGACCACTTTGAGGGCAAGGACTCATTGCAGCACTTCCACCTTAAGAAAAATTGAAGAAAAATATCTCATGGACGTCTGCTCGTGGAGAACTCTGAAGGCTCACTTCAGTTCAAATTGAAGTATGAGCTGAAGATGTCACCTAGTAGGGTGACGAAAGCCTTTCAAATTAACTATCCAGCTCAGAGAACACGACCACATCAAGAACTCTTCATTAGTAGGCACCCACCACTACTACCTGATGGGGTTCAAACCCAGGACCTTCTGGTTTCTCCCATTAAAAATTACTCGAAAAATAAAGCAAAACAAAAAACGAAACCAGAAAATACCGAACAAATACTCGGCCTACCAAAGTGTACAGTGTTAAAATAGCAATTGCAAATTCCAAGGTGACAATAATATAATTTTGACGTCTCAACCAGTTATTGAACCAAAATTTTGATAATTCCATTTTCGTCATTTGTTATCCGATTCTACATATGTAAAAAAGGAGACTATATTATTGTAAACTTCCTTTTGAAGCGCGATGTACATTTCTAACACACAAAAATGATGAAAAACAAAATGGAGTCCAGTTTAACCACGGACAAATAAGATTCAATTCTGTTAAATAGCATAACCAATAAAATTGAAGCAAAATACTCTACATAGCATGGCACCTATAATGAAAATATATTGATTGCCTATATGTTGTCTGATGATAAATAACCTTCTAATCTTCATTCACACAGTGTATAAAAGTATACTATAATATAGTAGTGTAAAGAAATCTAAAAACTAAAAATTTCACCTTGAGAAAATTGAAATCGTTTAGAACAAAAGTGTGCCTGTCTGTGTGTGTGTGTGTTTGTGTGAAACTTATTGAATCCTTCCAGCTTCAAGGTCACTTGCCTGCTAGGTCGCATTCCAGGAGTCCTAATTAGGTATATCTTGTTGAGAAATTTTACTATCGAGAAAGAATAAGATGAAACTTATTCATTCCTAGACTTCCTTATTACTAGGCGACAGGAATATGCATTAAAACGGAGTATATATATATATATATATCCTATGATTGGACATTAGGCCGTGCTGATCTTTCCTGGTCGTCTCATATCTTGATGATATCTAAGGTAATATTCCGTCTTACCTTCTACATCAAGAAGTTAAGACATTCTGGTGTAACCCAACCCTTACTCCTATAATTCGTCAACTCTAGCATTCTGTCTATTATTCTCTATTATTCCCCCTTAGTTTTTTCTGCGCTTCTGAAGAAAGACTATACCTTAGTACGCAGGATGTTAAAGGTTGTCAGCAGGGTGAGCAACGTGCCACTTAACCAGCTTGTTAATATTTTGGTTGACAGACACATGGACTCATGTGAAAAATGGGCTCAATCCATTCTATCTATCTAACTCACACCACCGCCCTCTTCATTCACAACTCTACCCTCCATTGTATCTCATCAGGCAAAACCAGAAGTCTATATAGAAAATTATATGCTCACACTAGTAATTACAAAAACTCAACTATACTCTACTTAGCGCTTGTTCTGTGCGATAAAGAAAGCATTAGGCGTGATATCTATGACTTATTAAATAGTCAGTAGAATAACTGGATCTCGTCTTTGCAACTCATATCATTTATAGGTACAACGTTTTCTTTCTTTCTTTTCCTTTTCTCTCTCTCTCTCTTTTTTCTGTTATGTGCTGCTTTGTTTGTTTCTACCGCTTACGCCAGTAAATATTATGCAAGCATCTACTTTTCTAACACTTTCAAACACTCCGTTCAATTTTGCCTTTGCTACCGACATGGCAATATGTTGTTTTCATAATGAACTGAGATTTCCTTAATCTATGTAGAATTTTCTTTATTGATAATGTACTAACTGGATGCAGTACTGTATGTAGTAAAATGCTGAGAATTCCATTCTGTATCGCAAGCACTGTTTTGGAATAAAGCAAATAATTATTATTGTGCATGTTATGCTTAGTTTATTGATGTAGACTTGAATTCTGACAGTCAAATTTGCAATGTGGTTGTCCCTGTTCTACATGATTCGTCGTCAGGTTGCACTCTGAACTGTTGATATTATTAAATGGTTGAAGGCAACTGATTGGCAGCCCTGGCTAATCAAGGTTTTATATTTGTTGACACTTGTCAGTTAGCAGGGCGTAGGAAATCATGTCCCGCCTCAAATACAAATCCCGTATCACCTAGTGTTGCACTCAGAGTATTTATTCAGAGATAAATTATGCTGACTAGTCAGTATAACCAGTTTTATTGAAGTATGGTTCTTCGGAGTTTAATTTAATAAAGGGATTTGGCTCACACAGCTAGAGTAATTTACACTTATGACTGTGTAATATACGAAGAATTCAAGATTAACTGATTAGAAATGTCCATGAGATGTTTTCCAAAAGAAATAGTTATTTGAACAAAGAATATTCCTTTCGATTACGCCCTCTTCATCAGGTCCTACAGTTATTTATACATAATAGTGAATGAATGAATTCATATGCCAACAGATAACAGAAAAGCAGATCGACATCAGAATTCCATTTGTTAGTTTGAAAGAGTTGCTTTTAAGATGTACTATCAATGTACTCTTCACATTCAACAACCTTTACTACCGGCCAATCTACGGTATTGCCATGGGTTCTCCATTGAGGCCAGTTTGTGGGAGATTTCTTTCTTGCCAAGATTGGAAATGGTCCATTGAGACAAGTGATAGAGAAAACCGATTCTTATTTTCGTTATGTTGATGATACGTTTATTATTCTTGATGTGAAAGCTGACAAGAATGAAATGTTAAAAAGGTTTAATGATGCACATCCATCGGTCATCTTTACTTGTGAAGAAGTACATGATGGCAGACTCCATTTTCTTGACGTCCGATTGAGCAGAAGAGAGGATGGTTAACTCAAGAGAGATGTCTATAGAAAATCTACATCTGCAGGGCAATATACACATTTCCTCAGTTTCGTACCAATCCGATACAAAATCAATTCGGTCAGATGCCATACGAATAGAGCAAGACGTATCTGTACAGATGACTCCCTAGAAAATGAGCTAGGATACATCCAAAATACGTTGGTCCAAATGTGTTATCCTAGTAGATTTGTAAGGAGACACATGAACACCAGGTACAACAAAGAGAAACTGACAACAGTTAAAAAGAAACAACTGTTCATGAAACTGCATTTTAATGAGGACGTGGCTTGCGAAGTCTTACATCAGAGATTATCGAGAGCGATAAAACGGACTTATACTGCCGCCAACCTCTGTTTGTCATTTTCCAGCTGCCGACCAATTTTGATTGCTCAAGTGTAAGATAAGTTACCTAGTTGTGCCACTTCCATGTGTATCTATAAATTTAGTTGGTCCTGCGGAGACAGCTATATAGGCCGAACAACTAGACAGCTTAACAAACGCATTATTGAGCATCTTCCTTCATGGTTCGGAAAAGGTCAAATAAAATCCATAGGAAGTTCTATTTTGGCTCATTCGATTGATGATAGGGGTAACCAAGTGGACAAAAATAGTGCCTTCAAAGTTATCTATCGCATTCCATCGAGTCTTTCCAACGGAATCAGAACCCGCCTTTTACACTTAGCCGAAGCTGTGGGAATTCGAGAGATCAGTCCTAGTCTTTGCATACATCAAAAGAAGTTCGTTCTACCTTTGTCTCTCTCTTGACCTAGGTGAATTCTATTCAAAACCCTCCCACCTTTTCTTATCTCCCATCTCCTTCGTATTTTATGATATGTATGATATTTATTTAAAGTCTGATTATCTGTCCACTTCACCTTTTATGATTTGACCCAATTTATATATTTATTTATTGAATTGTCTACATTTACACATATACACATTTACTATCTTTGTTATTCTTATCACCTGCATAAACCTTATTATCAATGTTTTGTTATCATTATAATCATCGTTATTAATTTCGTTCAAAACATTTACGACATTATTATTATTATTATTTGATCCACAAAATCACCGTCCTTGGTTCATATTTTTATATATAAGTCTATGTAAATTAGAGTAAAGCCTGAAGAAGATCCAATTGAAAACAATATTGTTCGCTTGTATGTCTTGTTCTAATATTATGAATGAATTAGTGTTATGAACAACATTAATACTGTTTAAATAACATCGAGTCAACAATAATAATAATACCAGTGGATTACAATTCGACATCATTCGAATGGAAATCCTGAAACAATTGTTATTATGGTGTACCATGAATGTAAATTTCAGATATGACGCTGCAATTTAAAGACATGTGGACAAGGTGGTGGTGATGGGCTCTCCAACGGCTCTCATTTGGGCCAAATTCTTTCTCAGTGAACTATAAAATGGACCTTTGAATAACCTTATCAGAATATTCTCATTTATATGGATGGTATAGACATGACACCATTATTCTATGTAGTAATGATTCGGATAGGAGGACAATAATTAATGAACTCATTGAAGTACAATCTGCAAGAAAATTCACGTACGAGTAGAATTGCCTTCCCCGATGTCCTCCTTAAAGGAAACTAGATGGTAGTACAAAGAGTAATTTGCAAAGGAAAAGCACATGGACAGGATAATATACACATTTTCCCTTCCAGTACAAAAGAAATTTAGTAAGCCACAGGATTACAGCTATATGCTCAGAAGAGGTAACTGTAGAGGAACTTAGCATTGTGTATGGCACCTTCATTGAAATTAACTATCCAAACAAATTCATCAAGAAATATTTGACTAAGAAAATTGAAAAAGACTACCCACAGAATCCTTTATACGTACGACTGCAATTCAATGGCGATATACCTAACGAAATAATTACGAAGAAGTTAAGAAATTTTGTTCAAAGACATTTTAATGCTGGCAAACTGCAAGTCCTATTTTGTACACAACCGATGGTGATTCCTCAGTTGAAAGATGAAGTACCTAGACTAGCCGCTTCTAACTGTATTTACTAATTCAACTTCACTTGTAATGGATCAAGTTATATTGTCCGTTGCTCTAGGATTTTTATTTTCTGTGCTCACTCAGGAGCATCTACCAGTGTGGCTAAATAAAGGTGTAGTAAAAACCATCAACAGTTCGATATTAGACCATTCGGTGCAAACCAGCAAATCTGTGATCTCCCCAGTACCAAACTGATTGCTAAAAACATCGATGTACCTCATATTCCAAACAGCACATGCTATCGCGTTTCGCCTTAAACAACAGCTGTTCTATGTTCAAAAGAAGCATGTCCAGCCACTACTACTTCCCTAGCCTTCGGTGGAGAGTATAAATTCATGAATTCGTATTATTATGTTTCCTAATCTACCTGTTTGACGTTCAATTTATTGTTATGTTGATGCTATTCAACTGTCACCCATTGATATTATTATTATTATTATTGCAATTGATTCGATGTTATTTAAACAACATTAATTTTGTTGATAACACTAGATCATAGTGATCCACAACGAAAACTCAGCGAGGCGTTTGGAGTAAACACAGGAGTCAGACAAGACTGGCTGATTATTATCACCAACCATATTCCTAATTGTGATGGACTGGATTATGCATCAGACAGAGGGAAATGAGAAGACAGGGATATCCTGCACCGACCGACGTGAAAAACCTAGAATACCTGGATTTCGCTTGTGGATGACTTATGTTTGATGTCACACAAAATCGAAGACTTACAAGCGAAAACCGACCGACAAACTGGTTGAAGAAGCAGTTGGCGAAGACAGGACTCCAGGTGGACATAGACAAGACGGAGGTTATGAAAATAACCAACCAACCAACAACAGCAGCAGAAACATCCAGCGCCAACCACCATCAACGGGAGGGATTTGAAAGAGGTTACTTCATTCAATTATCTAGGGAGCATTGTCTCAAATTCAGGCAGTCGGAACAGACGAGGATGTCAAATCGAGCGAGAATCGGGAAGGCGAGCGAGAAACACATTCATCAACCTGAAATCAATCTGGAAATCTTCGTCACTCACTATGAACAACAACAAGCCTATGCCCTGCTGTTTTTGATGGAGACATATGGATCTTCGGGCAGGACTTCAAGGCTTCTGCGCAGTTGAATGGCGTTCAAGATCTGTCAGCGATGGAGCTGCTACTTGGGACGCTGCTGGGAGGTCAGGTGAAAGCAGCATATGAAAGTGTGAGACGAAATACTGACGAATGTTTGACAGGGTCAGGCAAACAGTTTCCAAAGTGGAAGGACCACATATGGTCACTTCGAGATGGGATTACGCAGACACAATCGCAGTGGCGAACAATGAGAGGCGCGTGAACGTCAGCGAGCTCCAGAAATGGATACAGCGAGACAAGCCAACGATGACGCCTGCATCAAGAAGATCAAGCCGACTTCAGTCGCACGTATTTGACGGGGGCACGAGTGTGGTGAGAGCAGGCTGCTAGCCGATTGGTTGACACTAATCTACGTTAATGTCTAGGTCACTAATATGGGCCGTGAGAAAATATGAACAAGGCTGATTCAACAACCAATCACAGCAAAGTTAACGTGGCAAAATATGATTCGCAGATAGAGAACTCTATTTGTCAAGGAATCCCGAAACAACCAATCAGAAGCCTGCGTTTGTCTGCAACCAATCAGATGACTGCACTTTTCTACTTGCATAAGCTATAATAATGTATGTGAAATATATATAAATACGTGTTGATTTTCATAATAAAACGATCTGTTATCTGGCCCTTGTCTTCTGTTGTTACACTGCTAGTCACCACTCAACAAATCGCTTCCCGTCTGATTTATTCAGAGTCACAGTGTGAACGTTCGATGTTCAACAGTGTGTTTTTGAATAACACCTACTTTCACAATTAGGTTGGACATTGTTGAGAATGGTGTTATTGATCTGAGACTGGTCATGTGTCCAGCTGTAATGGATGAGTGGATTGATATGGGGTACATAGGTGAAATGGTCCTGTTCGGTAGAGATGATTGAGAATTCAGTCTCCCTAGACGTCTTTACAAGGGAGTTGAGTATACTGTGTATGCGGTTGATGACTTTGGCTGACATTTTTGGGTTGAACTGTATTGAAATCTACTTTGAGTAAATGCGGTGAAGTAGTCGGATGCATTGATGCTCTGACATGGGCATATGAATAGTGTGCAGCAACTACCGAGTAACATCGTCTGCACTACTAGGTGATTATCTCGATGCCGTTGAACATCAAATGTGAAATTCTGCAGTCGTGGTAAACCTATTTTAGCTGTGTGTATGGAATGAAAGGAATATGAATATCCTCAGAGTAACAATCTCCATGATACTATCCGAAAAACATGATTGTGTAGAACAGTGTCGGGGTGGAGAGGGAAATCAAAAATCGGTCTATCTACCACTATACTAGAGACATATAATGAAAAATGCCTTCTCACGGAGATCTGGAGCTACCTGGAGTAAGGTCATTTTTCGACTTTTTGAACCTCGATTTGGGAACAATATCATCTAAATATTTACGACCTGGAAAGAGGCAAACACATAGAAATTAGGACGAGGAGTGCATAACTATGTAAGACCTCGTAAAATATTTCTATCTATCTATCTATCCATCCTAATGTCTTTATATTTATCTATAGATACATACATTCCTGTGCATACTCCTATACATACATTGACGTATCGGATATTGTTATAACTGCAATGAATTAAAGTAAAACCCCGTCGCCAATTTGTTATAACTGTAGGGAATTGAATGAAGACGTTTTCACCTTGCTCTGTCTGCGCCTGAACTAATCTGCCTATCTGCTTGTCGTACCTTCCGATTTAGTAAAGCACGCAAATATCAAAAGACAAAGGCTGGACTGTGACTGTGTATTGAAGTGCAACAACGATAAAGAAAGCCATGGTATTTATACATTTTACAACAATATGGACAGCTAACAGCATTTGAAATAATTGATCTTAATAGCCAATAACAAAATATGATAATAATATGCAATTAACAGACAAAATGTGTGAGAATGATAATATACCATATATGCAAGATTAACAGTCACTACCAAAATGTGTGAGAATGATAACATACCATATATGCAAGATTAAACAGTCAATACCAAAATATGTGGGATCCTATCAGATATATCAATAAACTCACGGAAGGGCGCTTGAGCACGTAAGGAGTAATCTGAGAAGCAGATAAATGGAGATACATTATTCACTCACTAAGCTTATTTATCATGTTCACGTTCTTATGTATATCTAAATGTCGCAGTGCATCACTTCAAGTCGAGACACAGATTGTGAACGCATTAGAGGTGTGATCACCTGTTAGAGTCTGGTCATTTAGCCCCACGTGATGCATCTTTCAAATTTATATACATGGCAAAATCGAATCGATCCAAAAGTTTACGTTTTCTTCACTTATGCATAGCCGAAGCTTTAGCTATACATGAACAGAAACCTAAATTATGTGTTGAAAAGCGTTTCGTCAAACCACTTTCTTTACCTTGGTCATAATAATTTTCTTTCTAGTTTTTATTTTATTTTACCACTTGAATTCTTTCTACTTCACTTCACATCTTCATTCTTATCGTAGTCGTACTCCTAATTTTCAAAAATTTTTAGACAACACTTGACATTTTTGTTATAGAACAATCTTTAATATTTTTGTAATTTATCCACTTCAACTCTACCCCTTATAACTTTTATCACATATACGTACATTGACTGAGCAATTATTTAGTGCCACTTAATAACCTTTTTCTGTAATATAAACACGACTGTACAGCTTGAAAATGAAGTCGTTGGAAAGAAATTTCTTTGCTGAACAAAAACTGTGTTTTTACTTATGAATAAATGGGTATTTTTCGAGATTTCTGAATAAACCATAGGGAAATGATAGCAGAACTTGTGCTTTAGGCAGTTCCATTGGAAATCGTAAGACTTTTGTGTACAAGGAATAATTTTCAAAGCTTGGTTTTGCAGAGTTTCATAGTCAGTCGTCGTAGCGTAGTTCCACCTGATGAAGAGGGATGGTAGGGTCGTACATAGAGAGGCTGGTTAGAGTCCGAGAAGATAATATTCACTGATTTCTCATGTGCGGTCTCGTGTCTATCTACAACAGTATTAACAAGCTGGTTTGATGACATCTCAATCGACATAACAATAGCGCATACTACCCACCGAAATGTCACGAAGTCTTTCTTAAATAACTCAGGCAACAATTAGTGGGAGGTATAAAGCAGCATGGTTAGATCACAAGAATAAACACACTGTCAAAGCAGAGAGTCAGTGATATCGGAAGAAATACATTTTTCAAGGTATTCAACACTCAACTTAATTCCAGCTGAAGTGCCATCTACAAGACTAGAATCATGGGACCAATATTTTCATGAACCAATGACATAGGCAAACTTCAGTTATAGGAACTCAAATCTCCAACACCAACGCCGCATTTTCCAGAGCTACACCGATCTTCTCTGAGTGGTCTGAAACCAGTGAGACAGACTCAATTAACACCATACTGGTCATAGAACCAGGTGTCTTGGAGAGTAAGAATCCTCGTATTTCGGTATGCATGAGAAGACATATGAGACTGCAGACAGATAATTTCAATTGACAGGGTACGGTAGATTGTACTCATAATTTCAGGAACTGTTATTCAGTGCAGCCGAGTACGTTTCAATGCACGTTGTCACCAAGAACTATGCTTTGCTTAATTTGCAATTTAGAAATCCTCAATTTTTGTAAGACTTCAGACGTTTGAAACCAAGTGGAATTAAATGCAGTATAGTGATGGACGATTGCTAACTAGCCCAAGGTCTAAGTAGGTCACTGTTGTAGTACGGGCCCATTAACCCATTCGCCAGAGATCAAAAACAGGAAACTCAGTGCACACTATGGGCATTCATGTGTGGGTGATTGAATCTTCTCCCAGTGACTGAGCTGTCAGCAATCTCACCTCGTGACCTGGAGCTGGTGATTTTGATCCTCAAAGTGTTGGTTTATTGATGTGTATTGTTGAAAAATGCAAACTACGACAAAACAACTGTTCAATTCTTTGATGCGTTTAAATAGCCCTCAAAGCGACATCAATCATTTTTTGGTCAACTGGAGAAGTAGTTTGACTGTGATTGGATCTCAGCTTTCGAAATATTTCCTTCCAAGTGGTTATCATGTCAATGTCTCCACTTGTTAAAAATGAAATATCAAGGTTTCTAGTCTTCGTCATGTTATAAGAGGTTATTCTGAAAATAAAGCATACCTAAATAGTCTGCATACAGCTCAGATAGTCCATTCACGTTCTTCCAATAAGTGTCTTTTTTCAGTTCTGTAATCAATGAAAATATCATTCGTGAGTCATTTGAACACAAAATAAAGATGAGGTGTAGTTGGAGAGATATGTGAATGTAATTGTCGCAGTGGAAGACATATCTACTGAATGCGTCGAACAATAATAATTTTAAGATGAATTGGCATTTTGAAAATCAACTCATAGTTTGCACAAGTTCCAGGTGATTATTCGCGCGTTATTCACTATGGTATGTATGACACCACTCATAACAGTGAAATAATTAGCATGTATTGTCATGAATTTAGGTCGGCTTCGCTGATTACCACTTATGATATCAAGCACATTACACACTCACATTTAGTGGATTGGTGAGTAATTTGCGTTTTCTAAGAAAATTGAGCAGTGAAATTTTACCTACTCGTACTGTGTGGAATGCTAATTTGATTTGATATATTACCAGCTCGCTGAAATAGCCAACCGAAAATCGGGTGATTTCAGCCGAGTCAAACTGGTCACATCGCTGGTGATTTCGCCGCCAGAAGTGGATAAATGGTCATTCGGTGGTGTTCAGATCACTTTGATCTACCTGGCTAACATGCCCTACCGTTTGTTTATGCAGGTGTTCTACAGGTACTCATTAGAGTCGATCAACAGTAGGTAGTTTTTATGGTTTCATGATAAACGTGACTGACATTATTGAGTGGTGTATTATGCCTTTAATTTATTGACGGTCATCACTAGTACTCACTGTTCAAATACTCCATCACAGTTTCCGAAAATATATTAGACTTGCTGATGTGTGTAACTGAAAGTCAGAAAAAATAACGTTAACAACACCAATAAGAAAATAATCTCAAGGGATGTGTAAAATTGACAGGCTGCGGTGTGAACATGTAATTCCATAGAAATGTATATCACGCACAAGATGAGAAAGTACCACAAACTGGATAACTTAGTTTCGGAGACAATCTCTGATTGTTCAGCATCCTGCTAAACGAATCTCAAATAACTCGAAATGTGCATCCTGCACTCCACTGCTAGTCACCAGACACCACATTGCTTCAGGTTTCTACTTCAGACGTCTTCAAAGCATCCGGAGAAGGAGAACTCACATGTCAACAGAAGTGGAACGTCTCGGTTCAGTTATTAAACAGCGCAGTGAGAATTGAGCTGAAAACAGGAAATAACGTCCTTCACTCTGTTGTACAGGCTAGAATTGGTATAAGCTGAAGAACATGTACAGGCCATTGATTCGGGTTTCAGCGTGCTGAATGGTCATCGACCCCGCCTCCTAATCAGGATTTGCTGGATTCCCATCCTAGTGGTTTGCGTACTGATGATGGGTGCAAACCTAGGACTTGACAGCCAGCTGTCCAGGACATCCTGGTGCTTTTCCGTGTCTCTCTAAGTAATACCAATTTGTGATCAACCTTCAAATTAACACGTGTATTCATGACGAATTCACCAAGTAAATAATGCTGTGTCATTGTGTGATATGCGTAAGTGATTTGTCTATAGAATACTTGCTAACCACGAATGCGGTCCAATGTTCGGTTCCCGACTACTGGTGGCGGAACTGTAAAATAGAGTAGGTTTGACATGAACGACATACTGTCTTCTGCAAGGATTTCGAACATTGGAGGGACAGGTTGATTTCCTTGCGTGACAAAATAGTGAAAATGTGAATAGAGGACGACGGAAGCAGATTACGAATCACCGTTGCAAAAATTGAAAGGTGAGTGCAAGGTTTCTGCATTTTGTCATGCATCAGTGTAAATAATTTCGAGAAAGTACAAAAGGACGATTTCAGCAAATAGATCCTCGTCGACGAAATCATTCATTTCTTTGTCTGTACAATCGAATTCATACTAAATTTTGACGAATGGGACAAGTATCAGTGAGTGTTGACTTGTCATACTGATAGCCATGGTGGACATATGGCGACTTCGATAGTTGAACACTTGAACAAACACTCGTCATTATATCACAACAAACTATGCCGTTAAAATAGTCCAAAAATGAAGAACAATCAATTGGTTAATGTGATACCCTCTCGTCTCCTCTACACTTTACTGAAGTTCTTAACCATTCAGACAGAGAAACTAAAGTTCTGCATACAAAAGGAAATAATTATTCAATCACTTCCACTTGCGTGATTACAACCTTCTTGGCTTATTTTGTGCTCATTCGTTTTTAACTCTTGTATTCCCCTACGAACTCCTAAGTAAAACCACAGTAATTCAGATATCCAATATTTAGCTGCACCTATAACATTGATTGACACTGCAAATCATGGCTGTGAAAACTCATCACTTTTGCTGGTATGTGACCTACTTTGTCGAGAGAAATTATACATAAATGCAATGACCGTAGAACGAATGAGCAAATTGAAATCGTCGATCGAGCGACTTTTTGCTGGAGCGATTGTTTTCTTCTTTCGATTCATGTCTAGATGAAGATTATTCATGAAATGGATAAACAATCCTGCCACCAATTTCCCTGTCTTCTGTCGATACACTGGTAATAAGACTTCGACTGTTCCACTCGTGACTTGCAGCAGAGTCACCGCAAATTAAAATACAAATGTCCAGCATTAGGTTTGTAGTGACTTGATTCGTCTCAAGCTTGTTCACAGATTGATGTCAGTTATAGAGGAAGATTGAAAACCAGCCACGAGTACTGGACCTGTGCTACATCGTAGTTTGGGACTCATTGGCAGTACACATTGACTGGAATTGAAATGTCCGTCCAGTTGCAGGATTAGCTACAGAATTTCAAACTATGATGAAACTACTGCCCGGTACTTACAGGTGCTTTTCACGGGTTCCCTAATTGACATCAGTCTGTGATCAAACACGGAACATTGGCTTAGGTGCGAAACTCAAAACACTTTTGAATGTAACGAATCCTGCATTCTGCTCTCTAATCTCTCACGTCACTAGACAAGTATTAACAGGCTGTCATTGAATCAAATATCACCGTTATTATCATCGTCATTATTATTATCACTGAAATTAACTTGAATATCTCACCAGTGTTAAAATACGCCAATTCCCAATTGAGATTTGGTAGCCTGACTGTCATTAATGTTATGCCTGTAAAACAGATAAAGACATTCAAATATTTCACAAGTAATCAGTGTGACGGAATAACTGTTTTGCAAAATCCCTCCTGATCCGTCTAACTACAGTATTCACACTTATTTGGACGATTCAACTAACTTTGTGATGATTATTTGTGCTCCTGCTAGACTGCACTATCATATGTTGATTTGATCAATACCTTTTGTATCGCTCGTTGTTTAATCTGTAATATTAGTGCTTCTCTTTATCTGTAAGTGATACAATTAATGACGTGTTGCTTCACTACTAGATTTGGTTAGAATGAGTCAAGGCGACTGTGGACTTGCACAGTCAACGTGGGTTGTTTGGTGCGTGAAAAAGCTTGCTGACAGAGCTATGATTCCACAGTGTTGGGAATTTCCTGCTTGATTCTAAGCACTTGGAAGGTACCTTCAGGAGACATGAAGTTTTCGATGTTCTATTTTTGAATAAAACCACACATAAATCTATCGAGGAATAATCAAATTTTGCCATCTTTGGAGTGTTTTGAGACTGAGCGTCTCTCAGGAAAGTTTCGGATAGCAATGCAGTAGGACGCAGGGATCGGTTCACTGCGTTCAGACTACAATTCAGTTGGTTTCGATCGTTAATAATTACACGAAGTTAACAAAATACTTAATGGACTTGTTTTCGTGAGGTTTGAAGATTATGTGCATACGATAAAAAAGGCGATTCAGCATGAAATCTGAACTTCCTTGTGCATTAGAATCTCTTCAAGTTTGATCACTTAGCGAATGATGTCGGTCACAGAGGCACTAAAAACCAAGGATGGTTGTTTCAATGTAGTTTCGAAATTGTTTAGCGGTAAACAAATATGACTACACCCATCGTAAATGTAGTGGTGACAAATAGGCTGCAGTTACAGTTAATTGGTGAGTCACTGGATTCCGTACCAATAAGTGTATTGTCATTTGGCTCGCCATTTAACATGTGAGCCTCCAGTTCAGTCTTCATGTGAGTAATGCGACGTGAACGGATTAGTGCTGTCGAAGGAGGATAAAATAGATGTCAAACAGGTCATGGACTGTTCAACGCTTCTCCAACTGATATCAGTCGGAGATTAAACTGAAAATCAATTAAATGAATACTAACTAACACTTGAATATGATAGAATTAACCTCACTCACATTCAGCTGACTTGTATGAGCCATAGAGTTCACTGTAACGCTTGATCAGCTTGTCTAATTCATCTAGAAGATAGAAAAGAAGTAAACACAAAGTGTAGAACGCTGGAGGTAGCATTTTCAGTTGACAAATATAAATACTGTTTATGACATGGTTTCCCCGTTTGTTGTAAGAAGGAATTGGAAGTTTGTTGGAAGTGAAAGGATCATTTGAAAGCGACTGTTGAGAAGAAAGTTCAGTGAAGATGTGCTAATAAGGCCGCGTATTCAGCTCAAAACACATATGCATTCTCTCGTCAGATCTTCTCTTATCTCACTGTTTCATGAAGTAGTCTTGTGTGAGGCTGGCTTACGTCATCTTTGTGTAACATATTCTGATGTAGAAATCAGTTCGACCCTGGATAGTGAAGAACGCCGCCCATTGTTCCCTTAGTGATACTTTCTGATGAGAGAGAATAATTTTTATTCCTTGACGTCTTCGCGACTTGAAGCATATCTAACTGAATAGAGATTACCAATTAGCCATAGTGCAGTGTGATGTAGATTAATGAAAAGCGGCTAAAATTGAAATCAATATTTCAAGTGAATGGCTACACACGTGGGAGTGTTCATTCCTCAAATCATATCATACCTTGATATGATTATGAGCAATAAATTGTGCTCGAAACGTCATCAGTTAACATTACTGTATAACACTGTGAGACTTTATCAAAACAAAATTTACCCATAATTGGATGACACAGAAATTTGAATAGTGAAAACGATTGAAGATTGAAGTGACGCTCAATAAGCGCAGTCATTCTAGTAGGTGACCTCTATATTCAACTGTTATCAGTTTTCTTTGTGTTCAGCTTTACACTACTGTTTATCGATGAGTAGTAATAAGCTTCAACAGAACTGCAATCATTATAACACACCCCTTCATTGATTGTCCGTATTTGGAATCTCGTGATTCAACTGTATTTGGTATACATGTTTCGCTTATTTATTATTCCATTTGCATCCGAGTGGAATTTACGTCTAACATGTTCCTCACATGTGGAAGTAGCTAATAGCTGCTGAACTATGATTACTTTTGTATGTGTACAATGGTGTACCAATTGAGAACCAGTAAGTAGTGTCACATTACTGCCTATCAACTCAAATTCGTCGTTTCCCTATAACACATTTGGGAAGTCTGGAACAATATGATTGTACAATGACTCGTATGTGTTAGCAACTGAATCATTGTGAATAAATCTACTGAAATTCATCTATGGTAAGCATACGGATTCAGCGAAGTGTAATATTTATTTTTCACTCAGATCCTCATCTCTGGACTGACTCTAATATTTACCAACCAAGTGTCGATATTTTTGTTAACAACAACAATTATTATCGCCTCTGATTTTGAGTGGAATAATGCACTTCAACAACACATCTGCACTTTATCCTATTTTCTGCCGTCTTCTTCAACTGTATCTGTGATGGTCTATAACTCCTCATCTCCTCATCGAATGATATCCTCCATATCACCGTCCCACTGATGACCCAGTCGTTTCTTCCTATTTGGATTCCACTTTGATGTGTGTGTGTGTGTGTGGTGCGCGATTTCATTCAACGACCTCTTCAACATATGCTAGATCAATACGTCTCAATTTTCTCCCAAATATTTTTTCAACGATCGGCTCTTGGTCACTTTTTTGCAGATAGTTTCTTGTTACCTATTCTTTCTGGCCATTCGATCTTCAGTTAGGAGCCAGCGAAGTTGGCGGCGGCTGTTAATAAAACTCTGCAGTAGCCTGTTGTGAATCTTCCTCGTGACACGCAGTGCAATTTTCTGACCCGTATAGGGGAATTCACTGTCTCCACATTTGTGTTGAATAAACCAAATCTCATTTTTTACACTGTGTGAGTGAAGAAGATTTTCGAACTTATTTCAGGTTGATGAAAGCGGATCTTGCCTTTTCGATTCTGGCTAGCTGGTGTTGACATCTTCATCTGTATCGACTGCTTGTGTTTGAAACGATGCTACCTAGATAAATGAAGCCAGGAAGTAACGTCCGTTAGATATCTCCCGTTGGTGATGATTAGTGCTGGTTGTTATGTTGTCGCACTCTGAGTATCCTCTCCATACACATTTTCGTCCTTGTTTGTCATCGAGTGGGATTAAAATCAACTACAGAAGACTATATGCTCGGATAATTAAGTTCAAAACTCTACAACACCTTATTTGGCAGGGAAGCAATTTGTGTGTTGTGAAAAGTGTAAGGCGCCACACAAGTGATCTACCAAGGAACACTGGTAAACGGCCTCCCTTTATTCTTCCTATGGTCAGTATATTGGTATTAGTACCTCCAATTTTATATTTATATTACTATCGAAAAATATCGATAATGTTAATGCCTCATTTTAATTATTACCCCTGTACCATGTAATGCAAAGAGACAACTAGATGCAATAATAATATATACTGCACGCTGAATACTCCACATTGTTTCAGGAGTGCTGTTTGCAATGAAGCCGTCATTATCATCAGTATTGTTAAAAAAACATTGCTGGATACGTTTGATGGATCTGGAACGGGAAATGATGAGTGGGGCATGAATTTGATAGTGGAATGGAGGAGACGATATGAGGCGGTGACGAGTGCTGATGGGCAATCATGGATGCACTTAGGGTGGACTTCAGAGAACGGCATGAAATGTAGATACGTCGTGGGAGCCTAGTGTCTCGACTATAACCTAAGCGTATACAACTACTACTAATAATAATAGCGATACAATAAGTAGAAAATACTGGTGAGAAACAGAGAGACTGAATTCACTGCACAACATTCAATATGAGTGCATTTCATGTTAATTGTGTGAAAATTGCATGTGAGATTCACAAGAGAAATCTGAGGATACAGTTGGAAGTGCTTCTAATTGCCTGTGAACATGTAAGTGTATTGAAACTGTTCTCACACAGCACATCTTGAGTTTCGTTTGCGAATAACAAAGGATACTTCACTGAAGTACTCATTCACTTAAGAGCAGCAAATCTCTTACAAATAAGTAAGCGAGAAAACTTGGTGGCCTTATTACCTCTGAAGTGTATAATTGTATTGATGCAATGAGAATGGATGGTGAATCTTATCGCTAGTTTTTTGTGAGGTAGGCGTTCGCTTAGCTGTAAACGCACTGAACACACAGTAACAGCTTTCCACGAAATTCCTAGCAATTTGATTGTTCAGCATTCCAGTGTAAGAAACAGTCACAAGTTTGAGGAATGTAGTTTCACTTTCATTTTTAACGACATACGCTCGCTGAGCCTTCCGTCTGTTTCAGGCTTCCTACCGACTCTGCCAGCTTTTGGAGTGAGCCATACGGTGATATAACTTAGAGCCACATTCCTTGTTTGATGACTATTGAAGCGATGAATCGCTAGAGCACGTAAACTAGGCAGTATTCACCGGCTGTCTCATTCTACTTCGATACTCCTCACAATTACAGTTACTAACGAAGGTTCGAATCCAGGTACTTCCCGCTCAGTCTACCACCTTTTCTCGGATTATTGTCAGCAAGGCGAGGTTGAGAAGCTCATCTGTCGTTTGGAAATAAAACTGGAACCACCCAATCGGTTGACGAATATTTTGTCAACAAACCGTCACGACGAAACAGGATATATCGGACCAACTGCATATCGAAAATAAATGTTGCTGATACGCACAATTCACCTCCAGAAACGCTATTTTTGGAACGAAAGTGCATGAGATATACAGATATACGTCCATCACCGATATCACGTGATTAGACAAAATGGAAGCAGGCTGATCAAGAGCTTGAAACATAAAGCTACCGACTGTGAGTTTGAGTCGCTTAGAAAATATTTGATCCGCATTCCGTTAGCGATTGAGAGTACGATGGAGTCATCTAGTCGTCTTGTTAATAGTTGTGACCAGTGAGATTCACAAAATTAGGCTATCAGAGTAAATGGCCACCGATAACGTTGACTTGCAGTGGTGTTATACATCACGAAACGGTAGTTGATCGGTAGGAATTCGATTTGTTTCTGGTATGATCAAGGATCAATATGTGTTGAAGGACGATTCATATCTACCAGGAAGAACTGGATAGGTGATTTTACCCAACTTGCTGCACATCGGCTGCACGCGCACCGCCGGGCATTCAACCGTGGGCATTCCGGTTACAAGTGGAGATTGCAGACCATTCAGCCAGTGCAACACTATCCAATGCGTCTGTGCGCATTTCCAATAAGTACAGAACAAGAACAGGACAATTGTTCAGATGGATAAGACATACATTGGAGGCGACTGTTTAGTGTTATTACACATGCCTTAGAAACCCTAAAGTGCCGTCCAAATAAGTAGCGACAAGTTCAGCATGAATTCGATTGAATAGTCGATGGGGAGTGATGAGCAATCTTGAGGTCAGCTGTAGATGATTCCGGAAGAAAATTGTAAGTCGAGAGATGATTTTGAAGTCTCAGGTTCCACTCAGGACCCTAGGGAATAATCACCATAACCACGTGGTAAAATATACATCACGTATGAAATGCGTGTATGGATAGATGTTCCGGTGAAAGGATGAATCACAGTACTTTGAGGTACATAATACTGGTGTCATTCGAGCAGTCCAGATGCTCCTATATTAGGTGAGACGCATTCAGACTCACTAGAGACATATATCGCATCCTTGAATATCAGTCACAAGAAGAATTTATGGTGACAATCAGGAATTACGGATATCACATTACACCATAAACAATAAATTGATCTCATTGGAGGTCCCGGTGATATCTAATGATGTTACTGGTCAGTTGACGCAGCCATCTGTCAATTGGAAATGACCAAACAAACAATCTTCGAATGATCAATGTGAGACGGATGCATTCTTGACATTCGCAAACATTTCTGCTCAACATTATCTGGACAAATGGATAAGAAATGAAATGAAGCAAACTGCAAGATTACCCGATCGAACAGTTCACACGAAATGGGTGTTCTCCCAGTCCATATATATTATTGCGCATTCCAAACTCACCCAAACATACATGAGTGGGTAAGCAGTTGCAGATGAGGCTAATGATTCATCATGTCTGAGACATCCCTCACTTTGTGGTTGTAGTTAATTTGAGAGCAGAATTTAGTCATTATGGTAGAAAAACAGATCCAGGTTAGATGAGTGTTTTCTCAATTAATCGTGTTCACTGAGCTTGATTGTTCAGTTGATTGGCTGTCATCGCCTCTCTAGACAACATCCTCAGCCACTCGACAGTCCTGTCACCCCCTCACGATGGATAACCAGAAATCATTGCTTCTGCATGATTCGAGATAACAAAGTGTGATGCTTGTTTGAAATTCGACATTTGTTCAAGTATTTGTTTACCTCTTGATTGGATAAAGTCCTTTTCAATAGGATTTCCGAAGTCTTCTCCGGCAGTTAGTTCATCTAATGAAGAGCAGACGTCAATTCTAATGAGGGTGTCATTTCAATATTTTTAGTTGTAATTTAATTCAGTTGTTTGTGGGTTTGAGTGAACGTAGAAAATTGAAGTGTTTGTAATCATGTGGTGTTAATATTTTATGTGTGTATGTACATTGGACAAACACATGCATAGATGGCATTTCCTCTCTGGGAACTCATTCCCTGTTTGCAATGAAATTAGCGATATGTGTCATTGTGTTGTGCGACTATCTACCAGTGAATGCATTGCGACTACTGACTTTACCTGTTTAGACTGTCCCACCTATTTGCTCGGGTCAGTCATTCCACATTGAACTCAATCCGTTTCATTCGACTACCTGACTGACTGAGACCGATTGCAATGACATTGAAGTCAATAGAAGGTGCTCTGTGCACATGGAATTATTCTTCGTCAGTTGAGTGAATAGGGTGTTTCAGCGTACACAGCTTGTCTTTGAGTGATTATGGTTTCAACTTCTGGCCCCACGCACCTGATTATAACCCAGCGGAAAGCGGATTGCATCACTGGGAGACCAGAAATCCACTATGTACAAAACATCACCATTATCGGAATTTCGAAGATTTCGATTGACGCCGTATCTTTCACTCGGGGCACAAACGAGATGAATAGCTGAAAATAAAATTTTTCTGGCCAGCTACTTTCAATATGTAACGAAAGTGTCGGCTTTCGACCAAAGTGTGCTGTAGTCAGTTGGAACTTTTTCCGGTGAAGTGCATTTCAAGTCACTCAACCACATACAAGAACCAAGTCTATTTGGCAGTTGAAAATGAAAATTCATCATGCTGAGTGAAGTAGATTTACTAACTGATTTCTGGATCATGAAATTTTGTCTCTCCCTTCTTATTCTGACTGTCATCTACCTCGTCATCCATTCGGCTGCTTATAGTTGAAACCATATTGTCAGGGTGACCGAACTCTTTCAAATTCCTTCCACTTTTCTGACATTCAATGCTTATCTTCTGCAAGATCCACACACTGCAGAATTCTCTCGTCGGTCCAGCAAATTCCTGTTTTCACTCATTCTGTAGTCTGTCGAATGATCCTTTCTAACACGATCAGAATCATCATCTTCGATAGTAGGTGGCCATATTTCACTCCTGACTCTACTTCAGAGACATGTAACCAATTAACAAAATAAAAATCTTACTAAATACCCAATTGAGTATCTCGGTAACTTACCCTGAACTGTCTCACTTTGCAACTAAATAAATAAACACATATAACTGGCCAACGTATTCATTAACTAACTTGCTTGTTTGCGTCCTTTCTGTTGGTACAGTGAAGCTTAACAGTTAACTACTCATGTGAATCATTCTGTGTTAATCGCAAATGAAATTTACAGAAATCTAATTTGTGAGAATCGTTTCAATGTAGTTACACAGGTATCCGGGTAATTACAAGCAAATGTTATTGTGACCTCAAATTTCTGTTCTAAATTGCATATGAGAGTTTTACGCAGTAACAGAAAATGTTGAGGAGTGCATCAAAATTCCCATAGACAAACACACACTTTCTCTCTTTTTTCTCACATTCACTGCCCACTTGTAGGATATAAATAGTGCTGTGATTCTTTGTTTGCTATACGCTTGAATATCGCTGCACACTAACAACATGATTGAGAAGCATTGCCTGATACTGGCGTTTGTTTGGACGTTGTTTCAATGTAAGTGATTCTCAGTAGTATCACGTAAATTTGTATTGTATGTATTGCACTAAACTCTTTTTATATGATTCCTAATTTCCGTGTGTGTTCAGCAGACGGTACTGCACTGGTTTACATCCAATTGGAAGTGCATCTGTGAGAGATTGATAATATTCTGCAGCTCATGTTTTCAACAGACCATTGGGATTCCACGAGTGAGGACGAAATACCTCTGCTAGCCACCGCCTCTTATTTTAGCTGTCTCTTAACTTGTCTATCTGTGTATTAATCGAGGTGCTCCTGTGGAGCCAGATATATTGGTGGTTGTTTTAGAAACTTAATACTTTGTGCTTTGGAACACGTGCCCGTGTGGTCAAATAAATCTGAATTGAGAACAGATCAGTATGAGACCACTTCGTCCAAACAGGCCACAACTTCAACATTGCAGAATCCTTTTCTATCGTCTGTCGGGTAGCGAATGAATCACCAAAAGACTCTAAGATACCAAATGCTCCGAACACATTGGGCTTCTACAATTCGCTTTGAACAACTGGGGTTATATGTACTAAAGAAAGAGCTCCAGCACTGCTGCCTTGTCCCACTTGCTGTGGAATCTGTAAATTCAGTGATTCTGTATTGTTACTCTTCCTAATTCATCTGATATTCACTCCAGTGTTATACTGATGAACAGTGTCACTGACAGGTTTCAATGAACTACAAACTATCTGTATTAATATAACAGTTTTTATTTTACGAGAAGTCATGTCGTTAACGGCAATAATTCTTTAATTATTATCGATGCATTTACCTGTAGAACGTGGAGGAAAAGAGATATGGAAAAGTAACTGCTGTGTTCATTCATTAGTCTATTAATTAGGCACGTGTAATTGAGTGATTTCACCAACTTTCGTTTTCGCTTTGTCAATTTCGGTACAGTGTCTCACGTTCTGTGCAATGAATTATCTCCGGAACAAAAGAGTAAGTCGTACTAACAGTGTTGTGTGGACTAATTGAAACTATCTTCGACTACACTAAGTTGCTCCTGTGTAGACTGAATAATAAATAACTTTTTTGGAGGAATCGAATTTGACGAATTATCATCCCTGTGTATAACTATATGATCACAAGTATACATGTACAGAATGCTAATGAAACGAGAAGAGATAGGAGACCTCCAAACTAACCTTTCATATTGAACAGTCATGTTCGGCTAGGTCGAAGGAGAGTAGATATCTCTGATGGGTTGGTGATTGTGTAAAGTTCAAGCAGGCTGTTCAATGTCCAGTGAGTAAACTTAATCCAGATTTGAGAAATGAACACTCCCACGTGTGTAGCCATTCACTTGAAATATTGATTTCAATTTTAGCCGCTTTTCATTAATCTACATCACACTGGACAATGGCTAATTGGTATTCTCTATTCAGTTAGATATGCTTCAAGTCGCGAAGACGTCAAGGAATAAAAATTATTCTCTTTCATCAGAAAGTATCACTAAGGGAACAATGGGCGGCGTTCTTCACCATCCAGGGTCGAACTGATTTCTATATCAGAATATGTTACACAAAGATGACGTAAGCCAGCCTCACACAAGACTACTTCATGAAACAGTGAGATAAGAGGAGATCTGACGAGAGAATGCATATGCGTTTTGAGCTGAATACGCGGCCTTATTAGCACATCTTCACTGAACTCCCTTCTCAACAGTCGCTTTCAAATGATCCTTTCACTTCCAACAAACTTCCAATTCCTTCTTACAACAAACGGGGAAACCATGTCATAAACAGTATTTATATTTGTCAACTGAAAATGCTACCTCCAGCGTTCTACACTTTGTGTTTACTTCTTTTCTATCTTCTAGATGAATTAGACAAGCTGATCAAGCGTTACAGTGAACTCTATGGCTCATACAAGTCAGCTGAATGTGAGTGAGGTTATTTCTATCATATTCAAGTGTTAGTTAGTATTCATTTAATTGATTTTCAGTTTAATCTCCGACTGATATCAGTTGGAGAAGTGTTGAATAGTCCATGACCTGTTTGACATCTATTTTATCCTCCTTCAACAGTACTAATCCGTTCACGTCGCATTACTCACATGAAGACTGAACTGGAGGCTCACATGTTAAATGGCGAGCCAAATGACAATACACTTATTGGTACGGAATCCAGTGACTCACCAATTAACTGTAACTGCAGCCTATTTGTCACCACTACATTTACGATGGGTGTAGTCATATTTGTTTACCGCTAAACATTAACTAGATTGAAACAACCATCCTTGGTTTTTAATGCCTCTGTGACCGACATCATTCGCTAAGTGATCAAACTTGAAGAGATTCTAATGCTCAAGGAAGTTCAGATTTCATGCTGAATCGCCTTTTTTATCGTATGCACATAATCTTCAAACCTCACGAAAACAAGTCCATTAAGTATTTTGTTAACCTTTTGTAATTATTAACTATCGAAACCAACTGAATTGTAGTCTGAACGCAGTGAACCGATCTCTGCGTCTTACTGCATTGCTATCCGAAACTTTCCTGAGAGACGCTCAGTCTCAAAACACTCCAAAGATGGCAAAATATGATTATTCCTCGATAGATTTATGTGTGGTTTTATTCAAACATAGAACATCGAAAACTTCATGTCTCCTGTAGGTACCTTCCAAGTGCTTAGAATCAAGCAGGAAATTCCCAACACTGTGGAATCATAGCTCTGTCAGCAAGCTTTTTCACGCACCAAACAACCCACGTTGACTGTGCAAGTCCACAGTCGCCTTGACTCATTCTAACCAAATCTAGTAGTGAAGCAACACGTCATTAATTGTATCACTTACAGATAAAGAGAAGCACTAATATTACAGATTAAACAACGAGCGATACAAAAGGTATTGATCAAATCAACATATGATAGTGCAGTCTAGCAGGAGCACAAATAGTCATCACAAAGTTAGTTGAATCGTCCAAATAAGTGTGAATACTGTAGTTAGACGGATCAGGAGGGATTTTGCAAAACAGTTATTCCGTCACACTGATTACTTGTGAAATATTTGAATGTCTTTATCTGTTTTACAGGCATAACATTAATGACAGTCAGGCTACCAAATCTCAATTGGGAATTGGCGTATTTTAACACTGGTGAGATATTCAAGTTAATTTCAGTGATAATAATAATGACGATGATAATAACGGTGATATTTGATTCAATGACAGCCTGTTAATACTTGTCTAGTGACGTGAGAGATTAGAGAGCAGAATGCAGGATTCGTTACATTCAAAAGTGTTTTGAGTTTCGCACCTAAGCCAATGTTCCGTGTTTGATCACAGACTGATGTCACTTAGGGAACCCGTGAAAAGCACCTGTAAGTACCGGGCAGTAGTTTCATCATAGTTTGAAATTCTGTAGCTAATCCTGCAACTGGACGGACATTTCAATTCCAGTCAATGTGTACTGCCAATGAGTCCCAAACTACGATGTAGCACAGGTCCAGTACTCGTGGCTGGTTTTCAATCTTCCTCTATAACTGACATCAATCTGTGAACAAGCTTGAGACGAATCAAGTCACTACAAACCTAATGCTGGACATTTGTATTTTAATTTGCGGTGACTCTGCTGCAAGTTACGAGTGGAACAGTCGAAGTCTTATTACCAGTGTATCGACAGAAGACAGGGAAATTGGTGGCAGGATTGTATATCCATTTCATGAATAATCTTCATCTAGACATGAATCGAAAAAGAAAACAATCGCTCCAGCAAAAAGTCGCTCGATCGACGATTTCAATTTGCTCATTCGTTCTACGGTCATTGCATTTATGTATAATTTCTCTCGACAAAGTAGGTCACATACCAGCAAAAGTGATGAGTTTTCACAGCCATGATTTGCAGTGTCAATCAATGTTATAGGTGCAGCTGAATATTGGATATCTGAATTATTGTGGTTTTACTTAGGAGTTCGTAGGGGAATACAAGAGTTAAAAACGAATGAGCAAAAAATAAGCCAAGAAGGTTGTAATCACGCAAGTGGAAGTGATTGAATAATTATTTCCTTTTGTATGCAGAACTTTAGTTTCTCTGTCTGAATGGTTAAGAACTTCAGTAAAGTGTAGAGGAGACGAGAGGGTATCACATTAACCAATTGATTGTTCTTCATTTTTGGACTATTTTAACGGCATAGTTTGTTGTGATATAATGACGAGTGTTTGTTCAAGTGTTCAACTATCGAAGTCGCCATATGTCCACCATGGCTATCAGTATGACAAGTCAACACTCACTGATACTAGTCCCATTCGTCAAAATTTAGTATGAATTCGGTTGTACAGACAAAGAAGTGAATGATTTCGTCGACGAGGATCTATTTGCTGAAATCGTCCTTTTGTACTTTCTCGAAATTATTTACACTGATGCATGACAAAATGCAGAAACCTTGCACTCACCTTTCAATTTTTGCAACGGTGATTCGTAATCTGCTTCCGTCGTCCTCTATTCACATTTTCACTATTTTGTCACGCAAGGAAATCAACCTGTCCCTCCAATGTTCGAAATCCTTGCAGAAGACAGTATGTCGTTCATGTCAAACCTACTCTATTTTACAGTTCCGCCACCAGCAGTCGGGAACCGAACATTGGACCGCATTCGTGGTTAGCAAGTATTCTATAGACAAATCACTTACGCATATCACACAATGACACAGCATTATTTACTTGGTGAATTCGTCATGAATACACGTGTTAATTTGAAGGTTGATCACAAATTGGTATTACTTAGAGAGACACGGAAAAGCACCAGGATGTCCTGGACAGCTGGCTGTCAAGTCCTAGGTTTGCACCCATCATCAGTACGCAAACCACTAGGATGAGAATCCAGCAAATCCTGATTAGGAGGCGGGGTCGATGACCATTCAGCACGCTGAAACCCGAATCAACGGCCTGTACATGTTCTTCAGCTTATACCAATTCTAGCCTGTACAACAGAGTGAAGGACGTTATTTCCTGTTTTCAGCTCAATTCTCACTGCGCTGTTTAATAA